GTGTTTGATAGAATCAAGAACAAACCTTTAAAATGGCGCATCTACTTTCAGCTTCATGCCCTTCTGTTATCTCACTTAGCAGCAGCAAGAATTCAGTTAAACCCTTTGGTTTAGGGCAAATCTTCTTCAATGCTCAACTTCTTTCAAGATCTTCTCTCAAAGGACTTCTCTTCCAAGACAAGAAACCGAGAAGAAGCTGCGTTTTCCGAGCAACTGCTGTGCCTATAACCCAACAAGCACCTCCCGAAACATCTACCGATAACTCTTCGCCTAAACCAAAACGTGTTATGGTCATTGGTGGAGATGGTTACTGCGGTTGGGCTACTGCTCTCCACTTGTCTAAGAAGAATTACCAAGTTTGCATTGTTGACAACCTTGTAAGGCGTCTTTTCGACCACCAGCTTGGACTTGAATCATTGACTCCTATTGCCTCCATTCATGACCGAATCAGCCGATGGAAGGCTTTGACAGGGAAATCAATTGAGCTATACGTTGGGGATATCTGTGATTTCGAATTCTTAGCTGAGTCTTTCAAGTCTTTTGAGCCGGATTCAGTTGTCCACTTCGGGGAACAGAGATCCGCTCCTTACTCGATGATAGACCGGTCCAGAGCCGTGTTTACACAGCACAACAATGTGATTGGGACTCTCAATGTTCTCTTTGCTATCAAAGAGTTCGGAGAAGAATGCCATCTTGTAAAACTTGGGACGATGGGTGAGTACGGAACTCCAAATATCGATATCGAGGAAGGTTATATAACGATAACCCACAATGGTAGAACCGACACTTTGCCATACCCGAAGCAAGCTAGCTCCTTCTATCATCTTAGCAAAGTTCATGATTCGCACAACATTGCTTTTACTTGCAAGGCTTGGGGTATTAGAGCCACTGATCTCAACCAAGGAGTTGTTTATGGAGTGAAGACTGATGAGACAGAGATGCATGAGGAACTCCGTAACCGACTAGATTACGATGCTGTGTTCGGTACAGCACTTAACCGGTTCTGTGTGCAAGCCGCTGTTGGTCACCCACTTACAGTTTATGGTAAAGGTGGTCAGGTAAATGACATTCTTTATCTGTTCTCACATGAAATTTCAATCGAAAAATTTGAGGTTTTGATTAAGGTTTTCCCCTCGCAGACAAGAGGCTACCTCGATATAAGAGACACGGTTCAATGTGTTGAGATCGCTATAGCAAACCCGGCAAAAGCTGGTGAGTTCCGGGTCTTCAACCAATTCACAGAACAGTTTTCAGTCAATGAACTGGCTTCACTCGTCACTAAAGCGGGTTCAAAGCTTGGGCTTGACGTGAAAAAGATGACGGTGCCTAACCCGAGAGTGGAGGCAGAAGAACATTACTACAACGCAAAGCACACAAAGCTGATGGAACTAGGACTTGAGCCTCACTATCTATCTGAGTCACTTCTTGATTCGTTGCTCAACTTTGCTGTTCAGTTTAAAGATCGTGTGGACACGAAACAAATCATGCCTAGTGTTTCTTGGAAAAAGATTGGCGTCAAGACTAAGTCCATGACCGCCTAAAGTGCAGATCAATATTACACCTTGAGGGAGCTTATTGTATGGGAGAGATGTGTTGTTTGTGATCTTCAAACTTCATTTGAGCAAAAGACTTGCTAGCTTAAGAGGTTTTTGTCCATCCATTGTGCAGGTTTTTTGCTATTAGATATGAAAATGTTATATTGTTTGGAAAAGAAAAGACATAAAGCAAGAATCAATGAAATGATTATGTATATGAAAAAAACTAATACACTATTATATTAAAAGTAAGAAAATGTTACTATTAAGACATAAAACCATCTCTTACTTCATTAAATATAATCTGACGAGCTTAAATACATGATTAATGACAAAATTTCTTCGAGATCTTAGACAAATAAAACTGTAATTAATTTTCTTCAATATAATCTGGTTTTAAAATTTAAATAAGTTACGTATTACTTTTTGGTGTATTAAAATAATGGAGAGTGGTGTTGGTGGGTCATCATCGCTGGCTATTTTTTTTTTTTTTTTTTTTAATGTGAATGTCTTTTCCAATAACGAAGGAAATTTGTGGGGTCAAAACTCGGAGGAATAGAGTGGTTTTTGTATAATTATAATTTTAGCCCTAATGATTCTCTCTTCAAAATTCCTTATCTCTTTTTTTCTAAAGAAGAACAATAAACGATTCGGTTAAAAAAGAAACTACAGCTATCCCCATTTATTTTGTTTGACAAAAACCACATAACTAAAAGTTTTATTTTCACCAGCTCATTGTGTATGCACATAAGTCGATATCCAAAATATGCAATTATGTTTCTCTTTTTGAAAAGAAATATTCAATATGTTTATTGAATAAACTACACTCTATCAGCTTCCTAAATTCTGACTCTGTGTTCCATTTACGTACGTCTATGATTTGGGTACTTTTCTTTGAAACTATCAAATCCTTTAGTGGCTGAGCTGCCACCATGTCTCAGAGTTACACGAAAAAAGCATATCGGGAAAATTTACTATTCATGTTGTGCGCCTCTAACACATTTGTATGATCTTTGTTTGCAGCATATCCGAAAATAGCACCAAAGATGAAAAGTGAGAGCTTGTCCAAAAAGTGAATATATTTTCTATTCAACTTTTAAATTTGAATGTTGAAAATAAAATAAAATAACTATTAGTAATAAAACAAATGAATGGTATTACGATAATGATCAAATAATCCCCCATAGTTAACACTACTATTCAATATAACTGAAAATACTCTTGAAAGCACTGAGTTTTCTTTGTATCTTATTGCACATTAATATCATTATATATTACTTTCTTTTTTTTTGTAAGAAGTAGTATTACTTTTTTAATGGGCAAATATTAATATCATTATTTATCAAACATTTGTTGGAGAGATTGTTGGTTATGATTGATGAGGTCATCCTCGCCATCAGTATTCATCAACTTGCGAATTAAAAATATACACAAAAAGCCTAACCTTAATTTCGAACACATGTCACATGATCTCACACAAAAAAAAAAAATCTAAATCCCACAGCTACCAAAGTTGTATAGGTCGGCAAGTATTTTTTTATAAAAGTTAATTTTGGATGTATAAACGTATTTGCTTACACCCTACAGCATGGTTTTGAAACTTGAAATTCAAAGATTTATTTTATGGAAAACAACCCTTTGAAAATGATACTTGAGTAACAAAGATTACAGAAAACCTGTGTCGTGCCCTTATTTGATTTTATTTGTTTGTATTGTTCATATATGATAAGTCTCAAACCAAAACAACATTGCATGACACAATATTTAATTAAAATGGTTTTCAGTCATATATGATCAATCTCGCATGGTGCTTTTCCCCGATGTAAGTTATTAGGTCGTATATGCTCCCGGAGCCTTTGTGGTCACAAGTGACTAGGCCATAATGATAGTTGGTTAATATAGAGTTTTGGTCTAGTGAGAAGGAATTGACTGTCTAGTTGTTTCCCTTCTACAAAATGTACTTATGTAGAAATGACTAACTGATTGGACTCTTGACGTGAGAGACCAGTGATCTATCATGTGTTATATATATTTGGAATATTTGAGGACAAAGAATAATAATAGTATTTGTAACACACACAAAAATATGAACATGGTATGTTTAGTTGAAGATATTAAAAACAATGTCTCCGTTACTTCACCTATACTGAAACTCGTTTGAGTATTAACAAAAGGTAAAAATATATTACTCTTCGCACATGAAAAAAAAAAAATGACTGCATCCAGATCATCCGAAGCTCTGATCTCTTGGTAAAATAACAGTGTAGTGAGATCAGCACCTATCATTTATTTGACATAGGTCAATCTTGACCCTTGAAATGTGGAACTTGGACTTTTGACATCATTTTCCTAAACCTACTAGAAAAATCGACCGGTATAAAGGAGCTATATGTAGCATTCTATTCCAATTACCCAACTCCAAAGAAGAAGAAGAAAAAAAAAAAGAGAAATTCTTGGTCTTTTCTGAATCTTTGAAAAAGAAAATCAATAATTGTGGGGAGGACAGAAAAAGAAGGTTTGTTTTTGGAGATGCCACTTAAGCCCAGCGTCGCTGTCAAAACCCCCTCAATTATTGAAAGTGGGTCTCTCATTTTCCACTTCTTATTAATTAATTTCCAAAACTCTATCAATTTATAACCAAATAATTCAAAAATGTATACACAATTCCACAACGTACCTTTTTCTCTATCAAGACACGTTTATTTAAGGGAAAGATGAAGACATATGGAAATTTCATTGAAACTTCAACAACTTGAATTCATAAACTCTACCGATTACGTACCTAGACGGGATCAATAAACAATCACGAAATAGTCTGGCTTAGGATAGTGATCTCTATTACTTAATTTTTTTGAGAAATATGTAGCTTGAGGTTTCTTCAACTATGCGACTTTTATATCTATATTGCAAAACTACTTTTTTTTTTAAAGAGAGAATATTTCCTTGAATAGGAAATTAACGTGATGCCGAGAGCTTGGAGACCTTACAAATAAGTAGTAGAATCTTCTTCCCTCGTTTTCTCTACTTTATTTTTCAGGAATATTAAAGAATAAAGAAGAAAAATAACTTTGAAACGATCGACAAATCGTATTCATGTCACCATAAGATTATAAAAGATGTCTAGTTTACCAAAGAAATAATTACTCATAAGTCCGAGTAAAATCACCACTACTCATACGACCTCTATATGTCCAAATCCTATCTATCATAGGAAAAAGAAAAGAAAAAAAATTACCAATTACAGTATAAGGTTTTTGAGCTAAAATGTTAGATCATTAGGTATTATTAACATCTTGCATTTTATCAATATACTTATTTATGGTTCGAATCTCTCAGTCAAATATTGTGAAAAAAGGAATAAATTTGTTTTCAATCATTAGATATAACTAGATCATAGTTTAGTAGTCCTAATCAATCCGATTCATCATTAACGAGGTTGATGGATTCATACTTTATCAAAATAGAGAGAAAACGAACAAGCAAATTATATAAAATTATACTACTTACACATCTTTAATTATTCATAATTCATTTTCTACATGGGTATTTAATTTTGATCATCTGATGATAATCAGAATCAGGCTTTCATGAGCAATTGAAGAGAAACCCTAATTTCTTTTTTCTTTTGCACCTATTCAAATTAAGACAAGTACTAAGATGAGGTAAATTACAATCATACCCAAAGCGCTCCAACTTGGACAAGCTTAGGAACAAGTTGACCACTTAGGTGGAGAGCGACGAGGGACTCAAGACCTCCGACGCACTCACGGCCAATGAAAAGCGCCGGCGGAGGAACAACGGCGGAGACTTCGCCGGAATATTCTTCTTCTAGAGCCGTGGGGAGAGAAGAAACCTCGTGATCGTCGAGCTCGATGACGGTGGGGATTACGCCGATCGTTGCTAAGAGTCTTTTCATGACGTGGCACATGCAACATGAAGATCTACTGAAGATGATCACAGGATGCTCCGATATCAGCCGTCGGATCTTGGCTTCCGTTGATTCCTCTTCGTCGATGGAGAGAGAAGTAGATGAGGTTTGAGGAGGAGTAAGGTCTAAGCGAACGACGTCGTTTGAGAAACGTTCTAAGCCTAATTCTTGCATCATAGCAGGCAAATAGAGAGAGAGAACCGTAAGGAGCTTTTTCAAGAAGAAGAGGAGATTTTGTATTTGTATATATAGAAAGAATCAAAAAGAAGTTTAAAACAAAAGAAGGAATCATAATGAAATTTAGAGGAAATAGTAATACTAATAGCCAATAAAATAAGAAGAGAATTATTGGGGAAAGGAAAAGAAAAGGACAAATAATGGGGAGGAGAAGAAGGGAGTGGTGTATGTGGTTGCTTACATCACAAAGTACTGTCTCGTGATGTGTTTCTTTTGCCTTTTTATTTTATTTTTCCATCATATTTTTTTTTTTTGTGTTTTAGAAATTTTGTTTATTTGATGAGTTAAATGCATGGAGTTCCAAAACCCACGCGCTAGATTTTATTGCCGATGTTGACCTTTTCAATAGGTAAAGTTAAAGGAAAATGGAAAAAGTATTCACAATTTGGAGCATAATAGGAGTTAGGACGACGTCTTACTCGTACATGTATGGAGAATAATTTTTTTCTAAGAGAACTAAATAATTTGTACTTTTACATTAGAGTAGATGTATTTGAATACAAATATTAGTTAATATAAAAAATTTAACATTTGTATTCTTATAACAAGTTAACATATGCATAGAGGTTATGTATTTGAAAGTATTGTAATTACTGTTAACAAAAAAAAAGTATTTGTAATTACCGAATGATTTTGTAATTCCTTAAAAATCTACTGACTTGTATTGGGTGCACAATTGATTGTTTTGCGTTAGAGGAGAGTATAGATCAATTGCGAGTTCTTTATGTAATTAGCGAATGAAGTAAACAAGAAAAAAAATTTAAAGAGAATTTTTCTTTTTGACTGGCCGTTTTTTAATATATCAGAAAGGCAAAAAAAAAAGTCTTTATGTATTTATTATAATTGTTTATTTTTCTAATTTTCTTTGTTTGTGGATTTAATTAATTTATTTTGATTGTTTTATTAGGGTTTAACTGTATTTGTGATTATACTTCTTTAAGACAAAGCGGTCCTTGCATATTCTTTGAGCTTACACTTTTGCTATTATGACAAAGCATTAAGCAAATATGTTATCATGTTTTATGGAAATATTAAAGTAATGGACCAATTCCAAGGCTCCTTATACTGAGATTCTGTTGCTGTCGATTCCGTCATTACGAAGCCCAGCTCGAGACTATTTTGTCGCCAAGACAACTCCCAAATTTAGGATATTAAATGCTAAACTTATGGAACATATATATAAGGCGTTTGGAAAAAAAATTTAGTCCAATTTCGTCTTCAGTGAAATTACACCATCTGAGTTCAAATGATAAGTGCTCTTAAAAAAACAACAACACGACGAGTGGATCTTAATTACAAAGAGTTACGAATCCATTTTAGCATCCAAATTGAATAAACTCACATGGGGTTTAATAGAAAAGGTTATCTCATGGGGTGTGGCCGTGTGGGTGGAAGGCTGATTTTGTCCGCTTGTTCCAGTAAAGTTTTAAGGATATTAGCAGATGTCTCTCCTATTCAACAATATATTTAGCAGATGTGAACTTTTAAAATAATAACTAAATAATAAAAGAGTAAGGTAGAGGCCAGAGGGTATAACTAAAGAAATGCATGGATCAAAATAAACTAGTGTGTTAGAAAATTCAAGAACGGACAATACGTTGGTCTCCAATTCATAGAGATTATTGATCAAATTGCCTCAAACATTTTTGATAACAAAATAAATAAATAAAAATATTGTTGAATATTATTTGGTTAAAAACAATAAGTTAAGTTAAAGACTTAGAGTACCATAATATGATGTAAAAATAAAGTAAGAGCAATTTTAAGAAAATTAAGTAAATACTTCAAAATAGAGAAGGACAAGCATGAAAGGTGTGGAAATAGACGAAAATGGAGTCCAATTTGAAACAGACTTTACAGAGATGTGGTTGTAGGAATACCGTCGATGGTGTTGTCTTCTACTTCGTGTCTGCCACATGTGCTCACGTAAGCCCATCTTTATTTTTAATTGTAATGAAAGTATTATTAATTATCTAACTAGTTTATTTGAGTTTCCTCTTTTTCTTCGGTGGATCCATTTTCTTTTGTTGTGATCTCTTCGAGTCTTTTTTTAATGTCCACCAGGATCATGACGTATTCTTTTATATTGGTCTCACCTAAAACATGATGTCCTAAGATTCTATATGTAAGATTCCATTTCTATCCATATTCCTATGAGAAAAAAACGAATCTTTGTCAATGATTCGAAAGAAATGTGAGTGCGTTTGAGAAAGATTGTATACTTATTAGCTCCATTTACTACCCATAGAGTTCTCCCTAACTGACTATTTAAATATGCTAGTGCTATTGGTTAAGAGGTTTGGGCCATGTGGGTGTATTGGGCTAAAGCCTTGTAATCCTTTTTAAGTTAATGGAAATTTAAAATTTAAAATAAAATAAAAATATCTTAGTTTAGAAATTTACATGTATTGGCTTTGAATTTTAGAAAAAACATCGGTTGAGGATATTTCAAACCAGGATATCACACAGACAAGATACCTTAGAATATCAAATATCTGGATTTTGATCAGTCCAAAATATGATATATGCATGTATTCTTTATTAAGTTAAAATAAATAAATACAAAATACGAAAATAATTCATATCACTGGTTCTTAGCATTTAAGCTATTAAAAATAAATCAAAACACCAAAATTATTGAAGAACCGGTTCTTAGTTGTAAGTTTGAACTAAATATTCACAGAAACCCACATCTGAAAACAAACAACAAAGAAGTTGTGTAAATAGAAATATTGGTGAAGTAGTTGGATTTGGAGAATCTAGACCATCATGCTCAAACATTATTGATCAAATTGCCTCAAACATTTTTGATAACAAAATAAATAAATAAAAGTAATGTTGAATATTATTTGGTTAAAAACAAAAAAAGATATAGGGTATGTAAATACTTATGAATGCTTATCTATTCACTGAATAAATTACAGAGTACTTATAAGATTACAGAGGGAGGTACTAGGTATTCTCCAAGATATTTACAAATGACTAATGTACCCTTAACACATTCGACATATATCTATACGCTCCCTGAAGATGGAGGGAGGTTGATCACTCCAATCTTGTTCATGGCTGTCACGAACTGGAGTCGAGGAAGAGGTTTGGTGAGAGTGTCGGCAAGCTGGTCTTTAGTTGAAACGTGAGAGACTCGCAGTGACTTGTTCTGTATTTGCCCGCGAACAAAGTGATAATCAAGCGCAATGTGTTTCATTCGTGAATGAAAGACCGGGTTAGCACAAAGGTACGTGGCTCCAATATTGTCACAGTAGATTACCGGAGTGGATGGGATGATGATATGCATTTCAGTGAGGAGATTGCATATCCATTGGAGTTCTGAGGAGGTGTTAGCTACCGCTCGGTATTCAGCCTCCGTAGACGATCTTGCTACTCCTCTTTGTTTGCGTGAAGACCAAGAGATGGGGTGTCTTCCAAGGTAGATGACATATCCATTTGTCGAGACGAGGTCATCCGAGTCGCCAGCCCAATCTGCGTCGGAGAATGCGTGAAGGGTGAGAGGATTATTTTTGTTGAAAAAGATACCATGAGAAATTGTTCCAGCAAGGTATCGTAGGACTCTTTTTGCTGCATTCCAATGCTCTGTGGTCGGACGGTGCATGTATTGAGATAGGCGATTCACAGCGTACGCGATGTCGGGTCGTGTAAATGCTAAGTACTGTAGGCTTCCAACCACTGTTCTGTATTCTTTAGGGTCGGGGAGAGCTTCTCCGAAGTTTAGTGTGAGCTTAGGTGATGACGGTAGTGGAGTGGAGACCGGTTTTGCGTCCAGCATGTTTGTTTTGGTGAGGAGGTCAACGATGTACTTCCTTTGCATCATATGCAGTCCGCGGTCCGTTCGAGTCACTTCAATTCCAAGAAAATAGTGCAAATCCGACGGGTCTTTGATGGAGAATCGGGCTGCCAGTGAATCAAGGATTTGTGTGACTAGAGTATTGGAGTTTCCAGTGACTACGATGTCGTCAACGTAGACTAACATGTATGCTAGATTGGCGCCGTGATGATAGACGAATAGGGACGTGTCTGCCAATGCGTTGACGAAGCCACTTTTAAGTAAGTAGTTACGGAGTTCGGTGTACCACGCTCTCGGAGCTTGTTTGAGGCCGTATATTGCTTTGTTGAGGCGACAGACATAGTCAGGCTGTCCTTATCAACGAATGCTGGTGGTTGTGTCATGTATACCTCTTCGGAGAGTGTGCCTTGAAGAAAAGCGGTGTTGACATCGACTTGTTTGATTGGCCACGATTTAGTCACTGCAACTCCGAGAACTAAATGAATGGTAGTGGACTTGATGACAGGTGCAAACGTTTCTGAGAAATCAATGCCCCATCGCTGTTGAAATCCTTTGGCGACAAGCCTTGCTTTGTACCTGTCAATCAAACCACTAGGAAGAGTTTTCAATTTAAACAGCCATTTGCATCCAACCACATTCATGTTAGGTTTGTATGGAACTAAGTCCCATGTGTGATTGCCTTGTTGAGAGTCAATCTCTTGTGACATTGCATTTCTCCATTTCTGATCTTGCATCGCCTGGTTCAGGTTTGATGGTTCAAGTTCTGATTTTTGGCGAAGGATAGTGGAAAGGGAGAGTTTTTGTTTTGGTTTGGTTATGTTGTTTTTGGATCTTGTCCGCATGGCATGGGTGTTGTTTGGTTGGTTGGGTGGCTGAATTTCATTGGTGGTGTGCTGGTTTTGCAAATCAACGGTGGATGACGTCGGGGAGTGGCGAGAGGAAGAAGATGATGATGGGTTTATTTCAGTTGGGCCTGTGGTGCTGTTTGTTGGGCCTGTTTCTGATGGACTGTTATTGGGCTCAATTTGGTTTGAGGATGAATTGGAAGAATGTGAGGGAATCATACCTGAGTTTGTAAGCGTTGGCAACGGTTCGGAAAGTTTTGTTAGTCGGAAATTTGTCGGAAATTATTTCTTTAATCATTTTTATTTTAAAAAAACGAAAAGATAAATAATTTATAATAAATAAATAAATAATTAGTTTCGTCGGAAAGTCGTCAGAAATATTATTTTGAAATTTTTTTTGAAAAAATTAAATAATTTATAATTAAGTAAATAATTAATTAATAATTAATTTCGTCGGAAATTCGTCGGAAATTTCTACGTTCGTCGGAATTTTGTCGGAAATTTATGATTTTTCATGTTCCCGCCTTTGTACATTCAATTCAAATGAATTTACCGCGTTTTGTAGTTTCCGACAAATTTCCGACGAAATACATCGTCGGAAATTTTTTCTATATATAGCAAATGAGTTTTCATCCTTTCCACAATTCCAAACACAACAATCTCAATCTCTATTAACATCTTCTTCTCTCTACATCAAACATCATTCCTTTGTTGACAAAAAAAAAAACAAAACATCATTCCTTTTTTTTTAAAGTTCAACATTTTTATTCTCTTCTTCAATTAATAGAGACATTTATGTATTTATATATTTATTCATTTTAATTAATTTAATTTTAATTCTCATTTGTTGATAATGAAAATTGGTTATGTGACAATTAATCTATTTTTGTAGATATTCAATAATTATTTTAATTTTAAGTATAATACTCTTATTTGTTTTTTTTTGTTTTTTTTTTTAAAAATAGAAAAGTTGTCGGAATTTTGTCGTAACTAATTTCGGTATATATTTATTTTTATTTTAAAAGTGGTCTGAAATTTCCGACGAATTTCCGACCACTATATGAATAGTCGTCGGAAATTTGTCGGAAATTTCCGACAAAATTCCGACAAATAGTTTTCGTCGATAATTTCCGACGAATTTCCGACAACTTATGGTTTCCGACCAGAGAATTCCGACGAATGTGATTTTGTCGGAAATATGTCGGAATATGCTATTTCCGACGAATTTCCGACCAATACCTTTGTCGGAAATTGTGATGTTTTCTTGTAGTGATCGAAAGAGAAGAGAGACTGGAAGTAGCTAGAGTGTATATATAGATTCAAGTCTTAAGTTTAGAATTTTATATGTCTTGGCTTTGAATTTTAGAAAAGCTTCGGTAGAGGAGATTTCAAACCAGGATATCACACGGACAAGATACCTTAGAATATCAAATATCTGGATCTAGATCAGTCCAAAATATGATATATGCAGGTATTCGTTATAATAAATAAATACAAAAGTAAGTAACAATAAACTAAAATATTAAATCTATAAAATAAAACTATATAATGTTTTTTGAATACTCATTTAGCTAAGTCGTGATTCAAAAAAAGAAAGATATAGGGTATACTCTGCATCAGTTTGAAATGTGAGTAAAAATGATCAAAATGTTATATAAGAAACAAAAGAAATAAAATAATAAAAGAAGAGAAGATGATCTAGACTAGTAATTAAAGTGTATCGAAAGAGAAGAGAGACTGGAAGTAGGGAGCAAGGACCCAAGTTTGGAAGTAAGGGACACGGGCAAAAGTTTGATGGTCGGCGAGAAGCAAAGTTTTAGTACGAGGATCATATTTGAGCAACCTTTCTTTCAAATCCCAGTGATTTGAATTATTTGGCTTCTTACCGCTAATCAACACCTTTCCGTCGCCGCAGATTTCAATTGGCATAAGCACCTCCAGATTAGGCCTCGCATAGCTTTTTAGATCAATTGAATACATTTTTTCCCATGCGCCTCCTCCTCCATCCATGCTCCACATCTCCAAACAGTCAAGTGTTTGCTCTACCATCCATACTTGATCCCTTAAGTTCATGAGATTAATTATATATGAGGGTGTTCTAGCACCGAAAGGAGGGTGATGGACTGCACGGAATCTGTGTGTGTGAAGATCAAATGCTATGATCTTGGCCGTTGTTGAATACTCTGCATCTGTTAACCATAGATAAACAGTGAACCAATAGATGGATCCGTTAACGCTAGCTGAAGGTTGTCCTTTAAAGCAAGGTATAGGAACATGGCTTATGTATCTCCATTCCCATGTCTTAAGCGAAAGAACCTCGCATTCTGTGCATGCCGTATTCTCCCCAGGCCGTTCAAATAACCTAACAAGTTTATAATCTCCGCTCACTCTGTCTCTCCCAAATCCCAACAAGTCAATCGCCGGACTAGGAAACTGATGATTAGCTACATGTAAGAAATAATACAAATTACATTGCATTGCATGCACATACAATCTTAATTAGCTAATTAAAGAAGAAAAACAAGACTCTTCTGACTGACTGAATCATTATAATAAACTCTTCTTGTGAAAGATAATTGAAAAAAATAAAATAAACGAAGGCAGTAAATGTTACGTACACGTGCGGTAACCAAGAAAATCTATGCTGTATCTGCTTATGAAGAAGGGCACAGTTACATGACTTTCAAATGTCTGTGGACGGTGACAAGGACTTCGTTGTTCGGCTTGGATTTTCTGACCCGTAGCGGGGTTTATAAACAGATACTTGTTACCAGGTCTCGGACAGCAGATGAAACCGTCGCATGAGAGACAAGTAGCAACAACTTCGTTATTTTCAAGCAGCACATAGGTAAATTCGGGATCATCGTCTGATGAACGGAGGAACAGTCGAGGTTTTGGGGAAACTTTAAGAACCAACGGGTCCACGACTATGATCTTAGCAAGGATTTTGAAACGATGTTTGGATTTCTGATGAACCATGTACCGTTCCATGAAATATCGAGATCTTATCAGCCTCCTCCAGTTTTTTGAAACCAATTCTAATCGATGCAGAGGTTTCACTGGAAGTCTCTGCAAGATTTCGATTTCTACATCATACGGAAGTTCCATGCCTGTTTCCGACCTCATAGCTAGTTACTCTTTCGGTCTTTCCCTTCCCTTCTTTGCATTTATATATACGAGAACCGTAAAATATATTCGGGAAAGTAATTATTTTTCTTAAGGAAAGTAATTATTTTTCTTAAGGAAAGTAACATTGTCTCCATAACGTAATTGATGAAAGAAACTACATGTTATAAAGGCTAAAACTGAAAGTTTCGTTTTCACAATACGTACTTGTTAAAAAAAATAAAAAAAGGAAAGACTCTGACCAAAAAGGGGAAAGTACATAGACTATAGTAAAACAGGGGAATTTCGTTGTACATTATTCTGTATGGGCTAATAATGTTTCCCTAAAATTCTACATACATACACGATACAATAAAGGAAAGTAAAATTATTTTTAAATAGTTTTACTATCATACCATTACTTTCTAACAAAAATTCAAAAATGTTAATTTCTGCATAAATTTTAATTAATTATTTACCCAAATGGGCCACAAGTCGACTGTGTCTATCTCTAGCATTATCAAGTCTTGATCTAACCAGAGAATTTATCAAAAGAACAACAAAATGTTGCAATACTCGAGAAATATACAGAAGAAATTAAAGTAACTAGAAAGAAAAATGGAGGTTAGTTTCTCTTCTCTTCTAACCCCACCCTTTCTTGGATAACAAGTAAAAACGTGTGTTTTAAATTTCAACACTTTACAGCCCTAGGGCTTGGGATTCCCATGTATGCTAAGCGTGGAGACACCCTCACTTTAGGACTAGGCCTTGGAGATGGAATTGGTCCATAAGAATTAGCTGGCGAAACCCGAGGAGAGAGACTGACTTGCTCCAGTGCTTGTGCCTGTAGCTCCATTGGGTAATCTCTAACACACCCAATTCTTGGACCATATCCACTTGTCCATTTACAAGACAGTCTCTTTACAGGATCAAACACATGTCTCGCTCTCTCTTCCTGCTCTGAAGGCATCTCAATTTCTTCTGAGACTTCCTTTCTTTCTTCTTCTTCATCTGCAGTTGATTTGAATGACGAATATTCCTCATTCACAGAACATCTCTGCAATTCAGATTCAACAACACTCGTGAATATAACCATTCTCTTGATGCCAATAACACAAAGACCGATCTCATAATTTTTATTTCCGTACCTTGACATTGGTGAGATCAACATTGTGCTCCTCTAAGAAGCTTATGAACTCTTTAAAGTTGTCTTCTGTTGGGAGATAGTGTCCACTATATGGCCATATAGCCTGAGGAAACAAAAGGTGTACGAGACATTTTAGTTTACATGACATATTAAGAGAAGCAAAGACAGGTAATTTAAGTACCTCAAGGATCCCTTCGCGGGCGACCAATCTTCCTGCAGCTGTAGTGGCGGCTCCAGATAAGAAACTTGAGTGCTGGAAAACGCCTTTCTTTTTAATCCCTACGTATAAGGTTCTAGTCGTGCTAAGTACAAAAATCGACTTGGCTTCCTCTGTTGAATTGATCAGAGTCATGCTCTGTTTATTCATTAGTCTCCCATCTTCCACTATCACTTCATATGCTTCTCTCTCCATCTGCAGGTTTCAAAGAAACACAGACGCTGATGAGTAATCAACAAGGCAGAGCTAACTAATTAGTATAGTCGAGTCGAGTCGAATCAGATAAAAAATCTCACCGGTCCTAAGTATTTGATGCATTGTTTTTGCAGAACGTTTCTAGGATGTTTCTCAAGATTTACATCTTTGCCATCTCCTATATCCAACCTTTGGTTTCAAATCGGTGAAAACAGAGTTAAGAACACACATTCAAAGACAGGAAGATGTAAAGAGTGGGGTATTGGATCTAAGTCGACCAGTAAAAGAATGGCTGTGAGGGTGATTTGCTCTCTGACCAGACCTCATAATAGAAAGTGCAAGTCGTGGGTCAATCTGTAAATGCAAGAGAGGGCTATTAGAATAGGTTCACAGAATCAAAAGGAACTAATAATGTTTTTGATCTTGTTTGTGTTCAGCAACCAAATCCACAGACAAGCAATATCAATAACGGCACTTGACTTTGATGAAAACTCGCAAAGATATAGGCAGTGTGGATCTGCAGCTTCGAGCCAATGGTGAAGAGCTAATTTCTGAGCCTTTTCCTCTTTTGATAAGCCATTCCCAACCTAAAAGAATTGAGACCCGCATTGGTGTTCCATAGTAAAGAGAGATGTAGATCTACTTAATAACACCTTGACCTAAAGCTAAGCAGAGAAAAAATAATGTCAGACCTTAGCAGCTCGTGCCCACATCTCGGATCAGCAGTCTCATGTTTCTCTTCTTCAAAGAAAGACACAGAGCTCAAATTCAGAGTCTTTCCACCTACAACATTTCAAGCAATACCAATGGTTAGTGTAAACACAATTAAAAGACAAAGATCAATCAAGTAACTAAACAGAGGTCCTCAACAACGACTGCACAATCTGCTAGGCTCCTTCCTAGTCCGGTAACTCTTGTACACCTTATGTAAGGTAGTTGCAGCTGCATCAAGCTTGGTGGCCGGTCTAGGGGAAAAGAGAACAAAAGGCTCAGGTGGATTACCTGTGGGGTTCTTGATTTGGATTCTTTCTGAAAGGTTTGATCACTAAGTGATATATATTCCATTGGGCATTCATGGCACTTTAAATAGTTTGTCCCGACGGATCAGCAGGGCAAACAGCATTTCACCTTGCAGTTTGTAAGAACATGAACATGATGGGACTACAAATGAGCCATGCGGGTAAAGGAAGGGGGAAAGTAAAGGCAGCAAACAAGATAAACTGTATTATTACCCGTTCTTTATCTGAGAAGCTTCAGCATTCGAAAGCTCTTGATCTTTTGCTTTACAACGGCCAGTTCCGTATCCTCCTCCTCCGAAAGATGGCAAATTCAATTTTATCAGATTGTATATCTTGGTTTAGTGGGTTTAGTTATTTGGTTTAACTTAACCAATTGTATAATTGTATAGATGGAGAGTATAAATACTTGTACAGTGATAATGAAGAATAACGAGAAATGTTTTGATAAACGTCTCTAACAAACTCTCTCAAATTATCTTCTTCTACAATCGTAATATGGTATCAGAGCCATCAAAGCTCTAATCTCCATTGATTTTGATCCGATTTCTTCGTTTTTGAGCTCACAATCGTCATTTCCATTGCTTGATTTCAAGAAACAATGGTGACTGTAGCTCGCGCCACTCGGAAATCTACTCGATCGAAGTCAGGAACAAGTTCAGCTGTTCGGAAGCCGTCGCGATCCACCGATGTTGTTGATTCTCCTCCGATTTCTCCTCCAGTTAACCGATCTCAAGTTTCTGGAGCTTCGCGAGTTCTCACAACGTCGGAATCTGGAGATCCGAATCTGTCTCCGTTTTTTATGCATAGCGCCGATCATCCAGGTTTGAATATCATCTCTCATCGCTTAGATGAAACGAACTATGGTGATTGGAGTGTTGCGATGCTTATCTCTTTAGATGCTAAGAACAAAACTGGATTCATAGATGGAACTTTGCCTCGTCCCTTAGAATCGGATGTCAACTTTCGTCTGTGGTCTAGGTGTAATAGCATGGTCAAATCTTGGCTATTAAACTCTGTTTCTCCTCAGATTTATCGTAGCATTCTTCGTATGAATGATGCTTCGGATATATGGCGTGATCTTCATAGTCGATTCAATTTGACTAATCTCCCGCGCACATATAATCTTACTCAAGAGATTCAGGACTTACGCCAAGGAATTTTGTCTTTGTCTGAGTACTATACTCGTCTCAAGACTTTATGGGATCAGCTGGATAGTACAGAAGCACTTGATGATCCTTGTATTTGTGGAAAAGCAATTCGTCTGCAACAAAAGGCAGAAAGAGCTAAGATAGTGAAATTCTTAGCTGGATTGAATGAGTCTTATGCGATTATACGCAAACAGATTATTGCAAAGAAGGTCCTCCCTAGCTTAGCAGAGGTGTATCATATTCTGGATCAAGACAACAGTCAACAAGGCTTTTCAAATGTTGTTGCTCCTCCAGTTGCTTTTCAGGTTTCAGAATCTGTCATGACTACTGGCATGGATCCTACTGTTTATTATGTTCAGAATGGTCCACACAAGGGGAGGCCAATTTGCTCTTATTGCAATCGTGTTGGTCACATTGCAGAGAGGTGTTACAAGAAACATGGCTTTCCTCCGGGTTTCATTCCTAAGGGTAAGAATGGTGAAAAATTTCAGAAACCAAAACCTGTTGCTGCAAATGTTGCTATGGTTCCTGCAGGATCTATTGATCATCCTCAAAGTTTGGAGAATATGATGGGTACGCTAAGCAAAGAACAACTTCAACAGTTCATTGCTATGTTTAGCTCACAGCTTCAGACTCAACCTCAGAATGTTTCTGCAGTGGCTAGTACTTCTCAGTCTGACAATATTGGTATTTCTTTTTCACCTTCCACCTATTGTTTTATTGGAATCTTGACTGTTGCTCAGCATACTCTTTCCTCTACAACATGGGTAATAGACTCCGGAGCCACACATCATGTTTCTCATGATAGAAATCTTTTCTTGACAATGGATACTTCTATTATGAGTTCAGTGAATTTGCCAACAGGTCCCACTGTGAAGATCAGTGGTGTTGGTACTTTGAGACTCAACAACAGCATTCTTCTCAAGAATGTGTTGTTTATACCAGAGTTTAGATTAAATCTACTCAGTATAAGCTCTCTGACTGATGATATTGGTTCAAAGGTGATTTTTGACAAAACTTCTTGTGAAATTCAGGATCTTATCAAGGCCCGGATGCTTGGGAAAGGTAGAAGAGTTGCAAATTTATATGTGCTGGATATTGAAGATCCTCCTATCTCAGTGAATGCGGTTGTGGACATCAGTATGTGGCATAGAAGACTTGGTCATGCCTCTTTACAGCGTTTGGATGTTATTTCAGAATCTTTGGGAATTACTAAGCATAAGAACAAAGGATCAGATTATTGTCATGTTTGTCATTTAGCAAAACAGAGAAAGCTCTCCTTTCCTTCTCCAAATAAAGTTTGTAATGAAATCTTTGATATGTTACACATTGACATATGGGGGCCTTTCTCAGTTGAAACAGTTGAGGGTTTTAAATATTTTTTGACAATAGTGGATGATCATTCAAGAGCAACATGGATTTATTTGCTTAGAAACAAGTCTGAAGTTCTTACAGTATTCCCTGGTTTTATTGAACAAATTGAGAATCAGTATAAGGTTAAAGTGAAAGCTGTAAGGTCTGATAATGCACCAGAACTGAGATTTGTGAGTTTGTATCAACAAAAAGGTATTGCATCGTTTCATTCTTGTCCAGAGACACCAGAACAGAACTCGGTAGTGGAGCGTAAACATCAACATATACTCAATGTTGCTAGAGCTCTCATGTTTCAATCTCAGGTACCACTTTCTCTATGGGGTGATTGTGTTCTAACAGCTGTTTCCTCATCAATAGGACTCCTTCACAGCTTCTAATGACTAAAACTCCTTATGAGATCCTCACTGGTACCCCTCCTCAGTATGATCAGCTCAAGACATTTGGATGTTTGTGTTATAGCTCTACTTCACCAAAACAGAGGCACAAGTTTCAGCCTAGATCGAAGGCTTGTGTTTTCTTGGGATACCCTTCTGGTTATAAAGGATACAAGCTTATGGACTTGGAGAGTAATACTGTTTTCATATCCAGGAATGTTATTTTTCATGAGGAGGTGTTTCCTTTGGCTATTGATCCTAAGTCAGAGAAGTTTTTGGAGTTATTCACGCCAGTGGTTCCTGTGCCTTCAGGTATTCAACAATCTTCTTTCTCTTCTCTTCCATCACAAATTTCTGATCTACCACCACAAATTTCTTCACAGAGAGTTAGGAAACCACCTGCTCATCTGTCAGATTATTATTGCAATACTATGCAATCTAATCATAAATATCCTATTTCATCTACTCTTTCTTACTCTAAAATTTCTCCATCTCATATGTGTTATATTAATAATATCACAAAAATTCCTATTCCCACCACTTATGCTGAGGCACAGGACACCAAAGAATGGTGTGAGGCAGTTGATGCTGAGATTGGTGCTATGGAATCTACTAACACTTGGGAGATTACTACATTACCAGCAGGCAAGAAAGCAGTAGGCTGTAAATGGGTATTCACATTGAAATTTTTGGCTGATGGTAGTCTTGAAAGGTATAAAGCTCGACTGGTTGCGAAGGGCTATACACAGAAAGAAGGTTTGGATTATACTGATACATTCTCTCCTGTTGCTAAAATGACCACGATCAAGCTGTTGTTGAAAGTTTCAGCTTCCAAGAAATGGTTTTTAAAACAATTGGATGTGTCTAATGCGTTTTTGAATGGAGAATTGGAAGAGGAGATATTCATGAAGTTACCTGAAGGTTATGCAGCAAGAAAAGGGATTCAATTACCATCTAATGCTGTTTGTAGGCTGAAAAGATCCATTTATGGTCTTAAACAAGCTTCCAGACAGTGGTTCAAGAAATTTTCTGGTTCACTTTTCAGTTTGGGTTTTCAAAAGACTCATGGTGATCATACTTTATTTCTCAGGGAGTATGACGGTGATTTTGTTATTGTTCTGGTTTATGTTGATGATATTGTGATAGCTAGCACAAGTGAAGCTGCTGCAACAAAATTGACTACTGATTTGAAGCTGAGATTTAAACTGAGAGATCTTGGTGATTTGAAGTTTTTTTTGGGGCTTGAGGTTGCTAGAACGACTGCAGGGATTTCTTTGTGCCAGAGAAAATATGCTTTAGAGTTGCTGCAGTCTACTGGTATGCTTGGATGTAAGCCGGTTTCAGTTCCAATGATTCCTAATGTGAAACTGATGAAGAATGATGGTGATTTGCTAGAAGATAAAGAGCAATATCGCAGAATTGTTGGTAAATTGATGTATCTGACCATAACCAGGCCAGATATCACTTTTGCTGTTAATAAGTTGTGTCAATTCTCTTCTGCTCCACGTACTACTCATCTTGCTGGAGCTTACAGAGTTTTGCAATATATCAAAGGAACAGTGGGTCAAGGTTTGTTTTATTCTGCTTCCCCTGATCTTACATTAAAAGGGTTTGCAGACTCAGACTGGGCTTCCTGTTCTGATAGCCGCCGTTCTACTACTGGTTTTTCAATGTTTGTGGGGGATTCTTTGATATCTTGGCGGTCAAAGAAACAACACACCGTTTCTAGGTCCTCTGCAGAAGCTGAGTACAGAGCTTTAGCTTTGGCAACTTGTGAGATAGTCTGGTTATACACTCTTCTTACTTCTTTAAAGACTTCTCCACCAGTGCCTATCCTATTTTCAGATAGTACTGCAGCCATATACATTGCAACAAATCCAGTTTTCCATGAAAGGACTAAACATATTGAGATAGATTGTCATACAGTTCGGGAACGATTGGATGATGGCCAACTGAAGCTACTTCATGTGAGAACTGAAGATCAAGTAGCCGACATTTTGACTAAACCATTGTTTCCTCATCAATTTGAGCATCTTAAATCCAAGATGAACATTCTCAACATTTTTGAATGCTCATCTTGAGGGGGCATATCAGATTGTATATCTTGGTTTAGTGGGTTTAGTTATTTGGTTTAACTTAACCAATTGTATAATTGTATAGATGGAGAGTATAAATACTTGTACAGTGATAATGAAGAATAACGAGAAATGTTTTGATAAACGTCTCTAACAAACTCTCTCAAATTATCTTCTTCTACAATCGTAATAAATTTCCTGGATATTCACAAAGAAGAGAAAGATTGGTCCCAAAAGAAGAGCACAAAGCAAAGATATAGCTAAAATAACTCTTGATGGACCATGGATAAGCATATCTCACTTCAGAGGGGCTTCTTTTGGGGTTCCTTGGTTTCAGCAACAGATTCATGTGAGGTCTTTGCTAACAGTCTAGGAGCAATATATTCGAAAGGGTTCCACAAAACCTATCGAAGGAATGTAGAAAATCACAAGACTGGCACGCCAAAGAACAACAACATGGAACACTTGTGTAATAGAATTAAGCATTTACCACTCTTACCTCAATCGGTATCGGGTGAGCTCGCATTAGCCATGGCCACAAACCCCTCGGTGGTTGAATCTCAGTCGTTGATGGAATTCATCGGCATATATCTATAACCACCACCTGTTATATACATATCAATCATAACACTCAATTGATGCATACAGAGTAACCATCAGAAGCAGAAATTATCCGTGCCGGAGCCGGTGGGATCGCCGCCTTGAAACCCGGGAATAACACCGTCGACGTCTCCTCCTCTTACACTCTTCTTCTTCTTCTTCTTTCTTTCTTTTTCTCCTTCTCCCGGTTTAGACGGAGACCAAATTAGGTAGCGCCTAATTCAACAATCAAACCCGGTCCTTTCTTAAACCGAAATTACGATTAGAGAGAGAGAGAGAGAGAGAGAGAGAGAGAGAGAGAGAGAATGCCTAAACGTTTACGTCCTGGTAAGTGGTAACTAATGGCAACTGTTGACTTGTTTCTTTATCTATATTATAAAGGAATTAAAACACTGATTCATTGGTCGCCCCAATAAGACACCCTGGTTCATTGCTTTTTAAGACAATAACATGAAAACGATCTCATATATTTCATTTCCTTGCCTTCGCATTGGTGGATCGACATCGTGCTCCTCCAAGAAATTTATGGACTCGTCTTCTGTTGGGACCAATTTTTTTAATACGAAAGTGACACTTGTAAACAAATCACTGATTCATTGGCTGCTTAAGGGTCTCTCTAAGTATATAGCACAAAACACTCTCTTTTCTGCAGAACAAGAATGTTTCCCTTAATGTGATTTCTTTCATCTTTCAATCGTTTTACCACCAAAACCAAACCCACTTGCAACGACATAGTCACATAGATAGTGTGCAAATTCACCACCACATACAAAAAAAAAAAAACCAAAAAAAGACCACTGCATTAAATGATTCCCCTGTTTTAAATGTCTCACTCACTTAAAACAACTGAACCTTCCACTATGTGGGAGCCCTCCATCAACGTCTGCGAGGAGACTCTTTCCATCATTGTTTGCTAGAATCCTCAGGTGACTTAGGCTCACCACGGCTAACAAAGTGCCTTCCCTGTTAAACTTAATCATGGGACACTCCTGTAAAATGTTAGAGAAACATATTAGCAAAGTCGTGATGTTTTTCAAATAAACTAACCACACGACAGTTTTGAACTTACTGGAAAGTTTCGATCATTGTTTATACAGATCCTAGTGAAATAGTCCTCGCCATTGTCGAGCTGCCAAACTTTGACAGAATGCTCATCGCCAACGGCTATATACCCATTCTTGCAAATATCCATGCGTTTTGTTTGAGGATTCATAACGCTGTTGTAGCTTCTCCTAGTCTCGAAAGATACTCTATCAACCTCAACCAAGCGACCCGGACCACAATAGAACAATCTGGCAAGATAAAAATGAGATTAACTTGACTTTGTAAAACATAACTGAAATGACTCTATCTATATTCAACTCACCTCTTTCCATCGCCGCTAAACTTGAGCTCAAGCCTAGCATTCATATCACTAGGGAAAAGAAGTGGAATACCATCAAGTTGTCCGTTATATCCTATGTTTGGTTTTATAGCACTTCCAAACACATCCGAGATAAAGAGTTGCTGAAATAAAATAACACTAAGAGTTAATTGTTTTAAGTATAAGTAGACAACATTAGCAATAATGGATTGAGGATTGGATAATTACCACTTTGTTTCCATCTTGGTGCAAAGCAAGAGAATTCAATGGAGCTGTATGAGTCAATTTCCAATACACTAACCCATCTGATGAATTCCAAGCCTTAATGTGTTTGTCATCTCCACAGGTTACTATCTTTAGCTCTCCTTGAGAACTATAGAACACGATATCATTGACAGGCCCACTATGTGCCTCAATCTAGTCAATATTTAGATTGAATTATGTTAGATATATAAGCTTTTTCTTCTATGTATATATAACAATTTATTTTGATACAAACCTCAAGGTGTTGCTTAGTGGGAGTATCATGTGTATAGTTGTAAGTTTGAACTAAACCTTCACAGAAACCCACAGCTGAAAACAAACAACAAAGAAGTGGCGTAAATAGAAATGTAAGTTGTTTAAGTATGAATATCAATTAAGAGAATCTATTAGTAAAACTCTTACCATAATTTGTGTTGTTTCCGTGAGATCCCCAAGCCACACATACAGCTCCTGCAGTTTTACGCTCTTTCTTAACAAAATCGTCCTAAAGTTTTGAAAATTAGTTAGTATTGGAGTTGTAATGATTAATAATTCCCAATTTTACATTGAAACATACCTTTAACTCCTGTGATAATGCTTTGAATTTCCAGATCTTAAACTCCTTTCCATTAGGGTAATTTGATGCATTGAGCTTAAACAATTTAATTTCACCTGATGTTGTGCAAACTGAAATTAGAAAAACTGAGATTAGAAAGACATAATGATTAGTGTGTTATAGTAGATTTACAAAGAACTACAAAACAACTTACCAAGGATTAGAGGTAATTGAGGATGAAACTCCATACCGGTGACATGACTTAGGTTAAGCACATTCATCACTTCCTTAGGGAAAGGAGAAGGTACTACTAAGCCATCAAAGAGTTCATTTATGTTTGCATCATCAGAATCAAAAGTAAATTCTAATGACGGTGAGTGTTGGGTGGGCTGGCCAAACTCATGTATCATCCCGTCATCAAATCTGCCTCTTGATGATGATGCGTTCAGATCCGTATTGTTGTTGGCTGGAGGGGGCTGGCAGTGGTGTTCATTCAGCAACGAGGTAAATCCGGTGCTATGAACGCAATCTCTATGCTGCCAGTTCACACTACAACAGAAAGAAAAGAAAATACAACAACAACGAGGAGAAACCAAGATTGGAAGAAAAGAAAAGTAAGAAATAAATATATACCTCTGTTCTAAGAGGGTTTGTAGTCTATTTTGTCCCTCCATGATTGTTGGATAGAACATGGACCTGAGAGCTACATCGCGTTGGATTTGGTTCTCCACATATTTAACCACTTCTGCCCTTTCACTCTCTACATCAACAGTAGGTATTGTGTTGTTCCTGAAATAAGAGTTACGAGCAACCATCACAAGACATATCAGAACACACAAAGCATACATACAGATGCATAACACAACAAACAGAAACACCATCATATCATAACACAACAAACAGAAATACCATCATATCATAACACAACACACATTAGCAAGTATATACAAGCATATGAGAATCACATACTCGTATGAAATCTTCAGTTTGTCATAATCATGTATCAAAGAAAGATCCACTCGTGAACTGGGAAACATGTTGATGAACAAAACTGTTTTGGCTTGGATTCTGTTATTCCTACATAGAAAAAGAAAAACAAGAACAAAATAACTCAAGAACTTGTTATAAAAACACAACAGAACAAGGAGAAGAAATTGAGACACCTTACATAGAAAGAAGCTCCGAAAACAATTGCCGCCAGATGAAATATAAGATGTGGCAGGAGGCTAGAGAAACTTCATTCTGAAATTGGCAAAAATAAGTCACAGCGTCTTCAAAGTTACCACCAAGTAGCAAGGATGTAAAAGTTGCAAGATTGGGTAGCTTTCCCCTCTCAATATCCAGACTAACACAACACAGAGGGAAAAAACACAGAGACAATGAAATTGTTAGGAGTAAAACACACTGTTGTTGTAGGAAAATCATAACAAAATCTAAAAGTACTCACGCTTGAACCGTGCTGGACATTCCGTGTTGCTCAAGGTAATTCTTTATGAGTGTCATGGTTTCATCATGCCTCCTCATCCTACCTGCTTCGTCCATGATTAGCAAGTGCTCGTTCTCTCTTCTACGAAATTCTGGAAACACGACCCAGGTAAGAACAAAGAAACAGAGCATATCTGTACTAAAACAGGACTTTATTATCCACATAACCAACCAAATATCCAAAACCCAAAACTCGGAGTTACGAAAAAAGGAAACAAAGAAATCCTGACGAGATCTGGGTAAGGGCGACGACTAGTTTCCAAATGTAACCAAATAGATTTTGTTTTGTCATAGCCATGACCAAAAATACCGGATTTGTGTTCAAATCAAAGATTCTACAAAACCCGATTAGCGCTGAAATTACGGATTTTTAAAATCAAGCAAAGAAAGTAGAGAAATTGGGGAAATGATTTTACATCAGGCAACGAAAGCAGATAAATCGGTAACGATATGCAAGAAGCAGAGAAATCGGAAGCGTACACAGAATCGGCGCTGGTGGTAATAGTTTGGACTTAGGGTTTTACAATGCTTTGAGCTGCTTCTTATTCTTCATCTTCTTCTTTTTTTTTTTTTTTTTTTTTTTCTTTTTTCAAAAATAATTACTTTTCTCTTTGTCAAATTGTATTTTTACTCGTATATACGTTAGTATTTTTATTGTTTTTGGGATAAAAATCGTATACACCTCCAAATTGTTTTTGTATTTAAAACAAAGTTTTACTTTTGACTCTCTCTGACTCTCTTCTTTTTTCTTTTTCGGAGATAAATATTTTACAGTTTTCGTGGCTGCCACGTCAATAATTACACGTGTTATTTACCGAAGGAAGAACTTACTTTTGAAGTTTTCACTCGAGTGCTTTATTTATTTATCCTCTACAAATACTTAAAAATGTGTTTTTTCCATATGCTTTTCTTTATTTATTTTTGCTTGGTCGTTTTGAAACATATATCGACTAGATTAAGATCAAAAAGGAAGAAAACCAAACGTAATTAAGGTACCGTGAGTTTGAGTTGCTGTTCGAAGGACTCCTTCATCTGGTCCTGCATGCGACTTTGACGAAAACCCTCTTCGCAGATTCCAAGTTTTTCTTCTTTTACGTACGTACTACCTCCTCGTTGGCTCTTTCTTTATGAAAGCCCGACCTGCTAGCTTACTCTCTTCGGCTTTTGACTTTGTTGTTGTGTGAATCCCACCCAAACCGTTAGCAACCTTACCTCTCCGCATGACTCGCCTTAGAGACTTGACTCGATGTTTACGATTGAGAAGGGAGAAAAAGTTTATATATAGTTGGGAGTTGGGACCAAAGGATGGCATGGAGCAGCAAGCGTCAGTCTGAACATTGAAATGATGCGACAGAACTTGACCGATTTATAACAAATTGTGTTACGAAAATCCTACGTTGACAAAAACGAAGTTTTGTATGATCTATGTTTTTTTTTTTTTTTTGCATCAGTTTGAAAAGGTATACTACGTAATTGTTAAAATATATCATAAATAATGGTATGATGTGTGTGGTACTAAATCCAGTACATGTAAGGTAATTAAATCCCAACCAATTTTGGCATATTAGTTAGTGGACCTTTCAACTTAGCAGAGTAAATGAAAGGAAACTTTAAAGTTAGCAGAGCCATGCCCTAATTTAGCAGCAGATAGTGAATACGACTTCCACATGTTAGTTAGTGACCGTTAAATTAATGTGCAAGTAATCCATGTTTGTTGGTGTGGTATATTTACTACTATAATATACTAACCAAACACACACATATCACAACACGACTCTAATTTAGAAAAGATGAATTCGACATGTTGGTCCAGTCAACAAAGAGTCAATGGAATTGGTCTCACATGCCACGTTGCGCTGCTCTTTTGCACCGGACACCCAAGACTGAGTCCAAGACCCACAAAGCTGGTCTTATATTAAACCATTATTATTATTATTACTAGATTAATAATAATACTCGTGGAATTTGTGTCTAATTTATCTCTCTTATTGAAAAAATGTTTTGATGATCACTATTAAACATCTTAAATTTTTTAGCCGTCTGGAAAATTTTAGTCATCAACATCTTATATATGCAGCGTCTTTCGAGATCTTTTGCAGTGGAGAATGAAGATATATAGCTCTAGTGGACAAGAATGGAGGAAAGTGGCCTTCCTATGCAGCTTCTGCAATGATCATGGAGGGTTATACGTGGCAAAAGGTGTAGACGGGAGAGATCTTTACGGTTGAGTTTGTTCGAGGATAAGGCACAGCTCCAATGCTCAAGTTCTGCTCCAAGACCAAGGTCAAGGTGAACAATCAACTTGTGAATAAAATGAGCTGTATTCAGATTTTGTAAATGAATTGTATTTCAGATATATAGAACAAATACCATTCTATGAAGAAGAAGACTCTGGTCGAAAAGAGAGCTCTACTTTCCACAGAAGGAGGATCCTCTCGCCGCCATCAGGCATCAAACAAACCCAATGCTGATCCACAAAACTTGCACCGCAGGCAACCACCTCAATCTCTGATCAAGTGAAAAAGGTGAAACAGATTATTATGGACAATTTAACCAGGGTACGATGGATTCGGTCAGAGCTAGAAAGAAAGGAAAAAAAAAAGGCTTCGATCTGGAAATTGATTTTTAGGTATGATATGAATTTATTACTAACTTAGTTATTTGCGTCTAATATTTTAATGTTGGAGAAAAACAGGGGAGAAATTGTTGGAAATAAAAAGGAAAAAATACTCAAGTAATCACCCAGTTTAATAGTGACTAAGAACTCGTTCAACAATTTAGACAAGTATTTTCACTAGAGACTAACATGTTTTTTCTTCTTTCTCTTCCTACAAACCAATTTGTCCTTTCGTAAAATGAGATGTTGACTAGATAATTTACGTGTTCGTGAAGATTGTTGTCACTCGGAAATTAGGCTCATATTTTAGAGTCGTTGGACGGTAACGACCCGTTCAAGAAACATGCTAAAATTGATTTGATTTATGGTTATTTATGTTTTTTTTTTTTTTTTTGGCATTCATTAAGAACTTTTCACGAAATCTGTTTGGAGGAGAATGCATAATTTTTTAAGCTTTTAAATACAAAAACTGTTTTTAGAAAACTCAAGAAAGAAATGTTAAATTAAAGCCTGAGACTAAACAGAAGAAATAACTTAATCGATATATATATAAATGAAGTATTAGTTTGTTAATTGGATTTTAGCAATTGAGTTATGAATAATGTTATTTCCACTTTGTTGGTCGAATTCCTTATTTTATTAATCGAATCATCGAATAATAAATTGCTTTTTGGGATTTGATCCTAAATGTGCATGACTACTATTACGGAATAGAGAGGATGATAAAAGTTTGTTATGGAATTGATTTTCTCACTTCGATTAGAAAAGAATCTGTACAAAAAATATATATATATACAAGTATTCTACATCTACTCAATCTTGGTTAAGTTAACCGGATCTAATCAGCTACTAAACCGGGAACATCAATATACTTCTATAGCTACATATCTAGCCATAAACTCTCAAGTTTGTACGCTAAGAGATGCACAAAAATTGTGGAGACAACTCGAGTTTGAGTTTCTCATCAATTACCACAGGACTCGTGGAATTTGCATGGAGGGCATCATCTATTATGGAGGAAATTTCTTTATGAGCTTTGACATGCACTCTGAATATTTGATCAGAAGAGGTGACTGGTGAAATTCAACAATAAATGTACCGTAGTCGAAAAATGTAGTCTTACACAGCCCCGGCTCAGATGGGTAGGGCGGAGGTGCGACGGCCCGGGGCTTTTTTTTTTTTTTATAAAAAAATTTACATATAAAAAAGACCCAAATATTTTTAAAAAATATTATTAATATGAGAATTATATTTTAAGAGGCCTAATTATTTATAAGAAAATGTATAAAAAGACCCAAATTTTTAAAATAACAATTTTTACTATAAAAACTCCGCAAAATTTTTAAAAATTAGGTAAATTTTCTCTTTGTATATAACAATAGGCCAAAAAAAAATTTTTTGCCCTAAGGCTCTCAAATATATTGAGCCGGGGCTGGTCTTACATTTGACATTTGGGTATTGAATTATCTCGAAACAAGAAAATGGTCGAAAGTTCGAAACGAATAAAAACTACTATTGCATTGGTAGTACCGGTGGTCAACTTAACTGAGCACCATAGTTGATTCAATGACGGTGTACTCTATGTAATGATTTCGGCATAGAAAGTCTTAAAAAGGTATTAAAGGAGTTTTTGGATGTTGATAATTATATTATTCATATCTGAGGCTTTCTCCACTGCTTAACTCTATTGCGCATGTTTCTCATGTATGTATTTACTGTTTTGTTGTTTTAATTATAGAATCTTATATATCGTTAGAAATAATATGATATTTGGAAAAGTCAGCCCAAAATTCATGTTATTTTTAAAGTACGTGTGATTCATCCGTCTTTTATGTAAATAAGAAGATAAAATTTGGATATCTAATACATATTCTTTTGAAAATTAATTTTATGCGAGTTTAGAATCGCACTATGTAAGACTAGATTTCATTCATATACTATATTATTTTAAAACGGACTACTTTATTTATGATTTTTTCATCCATAACAAAATTTATGTGGTTTATGAATGATAGAGTTGTGAACTATCCCTATCATTATCAGCAAGTCAGCAAGCAATCCATGTCAGCGTGATATGGTACGGTGAAACATGCCACATCACCGTAATTTTACGCCACCTAATTAAACATGGCCACAATATCGATTTACCACACCAAAAAGTATGTAATGCATAGTAACATGCACCAAAAAATAAAACAACATATCGTCAACATACCCGTTAATTGGGTTAAATATGCTAGTTTTTTTTAAAGAGTTTCTATAGCTACGTACGTACGTACGTATGTCTTTTGCCCCGGCATATATATTCGAATAATAGTGAAAATGGAGAAAAACAAATGACAGAGGAAAGGAAATTATGAAGAAGAAAGATAGCGAGAGTCGAGTTACTTTTCCTGATGACTTGAAAAGAAGATCCTTCTCCGTCTACATACAACTCTGGCTCAACTTAGAATATGTTATTAGAAATCTTTCTCCGTCTACATTGTCGTGAAAATTGGACAGAGTAAAGCAAAACTGAAATTGAAAAATGATATATATGCGCTTAAACAACATGAATTGTAAACAAAAACAACAAAAATGTTTTCATATCCGATTATAAATCTCAAACCTAAGCTCTAAAATTTTCAAAGTGAAAAATCTAAATTGGTGAATCCTCATTTATATAGTGAGATTATTTGAAGTTTGTGTGGTATCGAAGAGATTCTTAAAAATGTTGCGTTTTAATTTGGACTGTAATCTGTCCAATTTTTACGACACTGTATACGGAAGGAATTTGTATTAACAGATTTGAAGTTGAGGAGTTTGCTCACTAAATATATAATTGACAGGTTTTCTTACAATCTCTCTTTAGTTGAGAGGTTTTATTATTAAAAAATAGACTTAAAATTAATATTTCTTAAAATATCCATGTGTGACTTAATAATAAGGGAAGTTTTCGAACATACCACATTTGTAATTTATTTTAGTAGAACATATATTTTTATACAAAAATTTGTGGTATTATTCGGAAAATAAACTAAGAAAAAATTGGAAATAAGGGATATCTACTAAACTTTTTGTCCATATATACCTTTTTGGTGAGATTGTCAGTTTGGACGAAATTACCCTTACACCCTATTTTAAATATATTTTTAAAAAAATAATCATAAAAACATGTAGATATACAAGAGTATAGGTGATTTGATCTAAAAAAATTTAGATTTGGTTTTAAAAAAGTTGATTTTTTGATAGATAAAGTTTCATCTAATTTTATTAGAATACGTTTTCTAGAGTTCTGCGAAACTCAGAGTGTGTATTCTGCATTTTTGTATATGTTCTACATATTTTAGACTAGATTTCTGTTCTAAACATTTTAGAAATCCGAAAATCATATATCTAAAATATTTAGAACATGCATTCTACGCTTTGCTCTATGTTCTAAATTTTTTTGAATATCCATTCTACTAATTACTACATCTTCTGCCATCGTTAGATTTTGTAATCTTCTTTTAGAATGTAAATTCTACGATACTGTAGATTTGGTTTCCTGAAATTTTTAGAATTTTTTAAATACAGAAAGTAAATCTTCAGAAAAGGAAACTAGATATTTATCGTGGATTACGTTTTAAATAGATATTAATTGTTTAGATTACGATCTACATAATTTAGAAATTGTTTTCTACGTTTATTAGAAAAAATTAAAACCAAAAACGTTTCTAAAGCCTAATTTAGAAAAAAAAAAAAAAAAACTGAATTTAAAAATTATTGTCTAATATTTTAGAAAATTTTGAAACTAAATCGTCTAAACCCTAAGCTCCCATCGATTTGTATTTTATGCTACTCGGTTTTTCTTCTTCTTCCCTAATCCACGAGTTTGCATTCATCTTCCACATATTTATATCTTATTTTACCAGTTTTTTTTCTTTTTCTTCCACGATTTGTATTAGAATTGGATTTATCAGTAATACTAATGTTTATAAATATTTTATTTAACTTTATATAATATCATATTCTTAAAATAAATAAAGTCAAAGAGATGTATAGATCTCGTTACCAATACCTTACGAGATCAGTATATACTTATCGTCCCACCTTGTATCATAGAAAAGTTCAAATACACGATGTGCTAGTTATCCATTTTATTCACTGTTTTTCATTCATAAATAATCTCTAACTTTTCCAACTAATTGGTATATTATTTAAAGTTTCACGGAGGAAAAAAAACACGTTTTTAAGTTTTTTATTAGGTCTCATAAGACTCTTTTTGAGGTAGAGGTTTAGTGGTTTTAGATTTCTATTTTAATTTTGTAAATAAATTAGGAAGTTTTATTTTTTAAAATTAAATTTGAAAGAAAATGAGGGTATATTTGGGTTTTAAATTTTTAAAAAACCTATATGACCAATCTACTAAAATAAGGTATATATGGACAAAAATTATAGTAGATATCCTTTATATCCAATTTCCCCATAAACTAATGGTACTTTGGAATAGGAAATACTCAATCCCGATGGCAAAAGCCAGGCTCGAGATAGCTTTAAGTGTAACTATGATGCAACTTTATCTCAATAACGACGTCCCTATTAAAGCCGGTTGGATTATCCGAGACAACAAAGGTAGTTATTTGGGCTCAAGACAAAGTTTTGGGAAAGTTTCATTTAGTGCATTAGAAAGCGAGTTCCATGCTCTAATTTTGGCGAGTACAAAACTGTTGGATACGAAGATAAAATAAGTTTTTATTTGAAAGAGACTGTCGACAATTTAATGATCTCCTTAATGGAAAGACAGTAAATTTTGGAGTTTACAATTGGCTTCGGGATGTTCAGTTCTGGAAACACCGGTTCAAAGAGATATAATTCGGATGGGTTAGAAGAGAGTCTAACCAACCAGCTGATATCCTTGCAAAACAAGAGAATGTTCTCTCTGTTTTCATTTCTATTACTCTGTTTCATCCAATTAATAAATATCCCAGATATTAAAAAAAATATATATATATCGTTATTAAAACATCCAATATTCTGACTCCGATCTAATACCAAGGATAAATTTCATATCTTGTTTGTTAAAGTGAACCAATAAAAATTGTTCTACAGTTTTTGTTATATTAGTATTATTTAAGTCCAACCAAATAATTTGGAAGACCATGAAAAAATGACAGCTTTAATAAAAATTGTATAAAAAGAGAGGTAACATTAATCCGTGTCCGCAATAAGTGACATGCTGGAACGTGCCACATCAGCAAACGACCGTCGGAGAAATTGTTTATATTTCTCCCTTGCAAGATTGAAAATTCTCGTCTCAATCCGGCGTCACTCTCCTCCGAATCTTGGAATCGATGCTAAAATTTTGTAGCTAGGGTTTGGAGAGATCTTCAAAGAGAGTGGCATGTTGGTTTCTGATAGAGAGCTTGAGGAAGCTGGAAGAAAGCTTCTTGACCCACCTTCTTCTGTCGATGAGATTCTTTCTCTTCTCGACGTGAGCTCCGTCACTGTTTTCTTTTTTATTCCTTTCCTTCTTCGCTTATAACTATTCTTACTCATCTTTTCCAGGCGTTTGATTGCTTATTTTTGTCATTCTAATGCGAATCTGTGCAATGCTTTCTTCTTGCAATTCAGTCTTTTGAATGATCTTGAATTCCGGTTTTAGAGAGTTGCTTGAACTAATCTATTCTCGTAAAGATGTGATTTAGTTCTTGATATGTTGATTTTCCCTTCTGGATTTGGTTTCATTTAGAAATTGAATGTTTATCATAAGGTATAGGTCTAGGATTGAATCTTAGTTTGGTCTGTGATCTTTTGATAGGCGGACATCAAAGTAGTCATGGCCTAGCATTTTGTCTTCAGCTTCAGTTCTGACTTTTGCGTAATAATTGTCAAAATACAAACAAATTTCTAGACTTTAGAACTGCCCTGAGAATGAGATTGATCTCATAATTCCTCTAATTGATGAAAGTCTGTTTTTTTTTTTTTTTTTTCCAATATGTTCTTATTGTTCTGAAAACTATATTTTCTTTTATGTGGATGTATATCTCTTGAATTTATTTTCAAGTGTGTGCTGATATTTTGGAGTTCTTGACTTTAATGATCATTTAATTGTCTTTGCTTCAGAAAGTTGAACACCTTATGTCAACGATTGAACAGTCACCTCCTTGCCCAACAATGTGGAAACTGTATCCGTTGATAGGAGCATTGGTCGGTCCTAAACACTTCCAACATTCGGATGCTGATGTCAAAGTTGCAGTCGCGGCTTCCATCAGTCGGATTACGTTCATAACTGCTCCAGATCTTACCTATGATGATGACCAGATGAAAGTACGTTTTTATTTGGTAGTTTTATCTTAAGGAAAATGAGCAATGCGGGTTGATCACCAACTATTTTCTATGATTTACATGTAGGAAGTATTCCAGTTAATTGTATCATAATCTGAACATCGATCTGACATATATGGTCGATCCTACGCCAAGAGGATATCCATCCTTGAAACTGTGTATGATGTCAAATTAAGCAAGAGTGATGCACTTCTTATTGAGATGTTCCAGCATTTACTCAACGGTATAAGGTACAAGCTAATATTTCCTTCCAACTAGAATTGAAGTTCCAATTTAGAAGCAACAGTTTAATGGATGTTGGCATGTTGTTGTGTCCTTATCTAACTGCAAGATTTGTCTAACTGCATACATGTTATGGTCTATCTTCCTTATCAATCTTCAATCGTTTTTCCTTCAGATTTGTTCTGCTAAATTCATGGATGTTGGCATGTTGTTGTTACCACTTTGCGCATTAGATTGAACTACATGGTGACCGTTGATGTCAGACACTTGGTTTTAGTTTTGTTGACCTATCTTCAAGCTTCTCATTTAGAATCATTCTCCTACTCGCACTTCTGCCTCTCCATAGACTTTATCATGTGCTACTTAGTTTTATTTGTTCGTAGTGTAGTTTCACAACTGGTCTTTTGAGTGTTGCTTACGTTTGTTATACAACATCCATCAATGTACGTTTGAATGATGATGAATGTATATTTCCTTTTCAAAGACCATCATTCTGGGAAAGTGTTTTCATCTATGGAGAACATTATGACCCTTGTTGTAGAAGAAAGTGAGGATATACTTCCAGAGTTGCTTTCACCAATTCTACATTACGTTAAAAAGGATGATAAGGTGATACATGGATGCCTTGTAAATATCTTTATTTCGGAACCCACTGCTCTTTGGTTAACTTTTTTTCATATTGACAGCAGATTCCCCAAGTATCACGGAAGTTGGCAAGCTCAAAACATAGCTGGCTGACGCAGTGAAATCATTGGGCATCTCTTTAGATAAGTATAGTAAGGTAGTGGCTTCAATATGTGAAGGAAGCATTGAGTGCTTTGAAGCAGAACGAAGTTGCTGCTAATAAAAAAGAAGTAAGCTTTCTGGCCTGTTTCTGTATCGAACTGCCTTTATCATTTGTAGATAATAATATACGGAGGAAGCTTGTTTCTGAAAACCAATGGTTATCCGAGTTGTTCAGTTTTATTTGCTCTTATACCGTTTTGCCACCCTGTGTCCTCTTCAGAACTGCCAAGGCCCAAGGGAAGTGGCAGTAAAGGCATGCTTCTTTCTCCTTGCAACCAGCATTGAAATTCATCAATATATAGAAAAAGATCATGTCTTACTCTTTTATGTTGGAAGTAGATTGTTGATTGTGATGTTATTTTCCAATCAGCAGGATATAGACAGACGGCAAGAAAAGTTACTACTCAGTGAGTGAAGTTGTGTACCTAAGAGGAGACTGAACCTGGAGCATTGGTTAAGTTCACTTCCTCATGATTCATCTGTAAATGTAGCTATTTCTTCTATAAATGAGAAAGGACGTGAGACTGTGCCCCCAAGACGTGAAACAGTAGCTGAAGCAGGAGTACAAACTGAGGAAAGGAGAAGTCGTGAGTTAGTTAAAGAAGAGGATACGGCATAAACTAAGACTTGGACACACAAGCGACCTCAAGTCGAAAGCTGCAGCCTTCACAAAGCTCATGGCGAGATGGAGAAGACAATTGCAGAAGGAGAAGTCTCTTGCTGCACCCGGAGACATGCGCAAGAAACCACCTCAACCTTGCTCTGTCAAACATTAGTTGGCTAAGGTGAAACAGAGCCTTGTAGACACTATACCCAGTGTACGACAGTTTCGGTATGAACAGATCATTATAGACAGTGTACGGCAGTTTCAGTCTGAGATCAAGAAAAAGGAAGATAATCTAGAAGTTTTGCTGCAGGAAATTGACGTCTTAGGTGTGTGATCTGGATGTTGATGAACACTTGTCTTTTGTTTTGCGGTTTAGTTTGGTTCTAGGTCTCTGATAATGTGATGTGAAAACGAACAAGGGAGAAGATATCCGGAATCAACAAATTCTTTCACTCATAATAAAGTGTGAAAGTAAGACCGAAGATCAGGGATTGGACCGGAGAATTTTGCTAACTCTTTTTCGTATTATGAACTTGTTCAACTATGCGCTTACCAAAAAAAAAAAAAAACTTGTTCAACTATGCAGTGAAGTAGTTGACCAGAGAGAACTCATTTTTTATAGCATTATCTCATTCAAGTCTGATGACAGTTGCATTATCATTCATGCATTTCTCTGCCAAAACATAAAAGCACCGAAGTAATTATTTACTAATACAAGAAAAGTTCTAACTCACAATGCATTATAAATTTACCAGTTTCTCAGCGATATAATGAAGTAGTCCAAATTGTTGATACAACCGAAGAACGCAAGTCACAAACCCTGGACAGTCTCAAATACAGAATAAACCTAGTTTAGTTTGGTGGATGAAGAAGAAGAAGAGGAATCTAGTGAAACTACTTGACTCCACCTTTGAAAAGACTCTTTGTTCCTTTTTCCCCATCTTCAGTCTCACTTCAAACCAGATTATTGCTGATTCCCCATTTCCTCTCCCCTGTTTCATCATCACACCATTAAAAACCTAAGTAAAAAAATATTGGTTTCAAGAAAAAACAACTAGATCTTGGTTCTGGAATGCACCTAAGGCGTCAATTGCTAGCAAAGAGGCTTGCAGATTCTGTTCACTTGTCCCACAGTGTTCAGAGTATCTACAATGCCCTGTTTCACATTAGCCACCTGATCCGAGACTGAGCAAGATCGTGGTAGCAAGCACTGTAATCTTCTTGAGATGGTGTTGGTTCTGTTTGAAACCTGAGTGCATCTTCTCCCCTCATCAACTTGATGCTCTGGTCAGCAACTTATTCTCTTATTCAGCCGTCCCTCTACTCCTACTCTTGGAGCCTTTTTCACATTCTTTGGCTGAGGAGCAGTCTCACAAGCTCTCTTCTTACGAGTGCTTTGGTTTCCTTTTCCCTTTTATTCATGGTTTTCAATCTGAAAGAAACATTTTAGCATCTAAGTCTGACTAAGTAAGGCAAAATGTTTTGTCTATACATAAAGTTGTGTTGTTGGTCACGTTAGAGCAGAAACATAGGATTTGCTCCTTCCCACATCAGTTCCAGCTTGAACGAATTATTTACCTTCACTCCATTCGCTTCGCACATCTCTCTCCAACCTCTTCTCAAATAAAACCATTCACTTCCGGCTCGTCCAAGTCCTGTTATCTGTAGATAAGATGACCACTTTCTTCCATCTTGGTTCAGCAGAATTACCTCCCCAGCCTTATTAATGTTATTCTTCCTCGTGAAACTCATTGGAAGTGACTTAACAAGATCCAGTCAGTATCAATATCAAACACTTAAACTCATGACGATATTCACAAAAAATGTTTATGACAACAAGTTCTTGAACTAACTAGTTGCCCGGTACTTTCACGGCTAGGTGTATTCTTCTCCTTTCCCTTGGAAACTTCATCCAACGTCCTCTTCTGTTTGTGGCCAATGCCAGGTTCCCCTGGACACAGCCAAAGCACAGGTCTTTCCCCATTTTGGAAAAGTTTAAACTTACATAACTCTCCTTCACTTAGCCCATTAACGGAGCAGACGTTTTCCCAGCCTAGTCTGATGTAAAATACAGCACTTGAGATGTTTTTTGCAAGTTTAATTGTCCATCTTCTCCCTATACATGATTATAGAGAAAATTAAAACACCCTGGTTCATTGCAATTTAAGACAATAACATAAGAACGATCTCATATTCTTCTTTCTTTCTTTTTCTCCTTCTCCCGGTTTAGACGGAGACCAAATTAGGTAGCGCCTAATTCAACAATCAAACCCGGTCCTTTCTTAAACCGAAATTACGATTAGAGAGAGAGAGAGAGAGAGAGAGAGAGAATGCCTAAACGTTTACGTCCTGGTAAGTGGTAACTAATGGCAACTGTTGACTTGTTTCTTTATCTATATTATAAAGGAATTAAAACACTGATTCATTGGTCGCCCCAATAAGACACCCTGGTTCATTGCTTTTTAAGACAATAACATGAAAACGATCTCATATATTTCATTTCCTTGCCTTCGCATTGGTGGATCGACATCGTGCTCCTCCAAGAAATTTATGGACTCGTCTTCTGTTGGGACCAATTTTTTTAATACGAAAGTGACACTTGTAAACAAATCACTGATTCATTGGCTGCTTAAGGGTCTCTCTAAGTATATAGCACAAAACACTCTCTTTTCTGCAGAACAAGAATGTTTCCCTTAATGTGATTTCTTTCATCTTTCAATCGTTTTACCACCAAAACCAAACCCACTTGCAACGACATAGTCACATAGATAGTGTGCAAATTCACCACCACATACAAAAAAAAAAAAACCAAAAAAAGACCACTGCATTAAATGATTCCCCTGTTTTAAATGTCTCACTCACTTATGTCTTCTAATTTCATAGAAAGGGACTGCAGCATTGCTTGCAAATTAAAGACAGAAATAGTGTGCCAGTTAACCACCACTTACATAACAAAACCAACAAAACCACTACCTAAAATGTATCCCTTCTCCAGCACCCAGCCTTCCACAAGTCATATCAGATCTCTCTTTGCATCTGCAATCAAACCACACATCAAACTATATCTCCATTAAAAATGATCTTTGATTCACAACACCACTTACCAACAAGCAAGTATCACAGAGGTAAGTTTATGATTCATGTTCAAGCAAACTCTTTCCATCAGCGTTTGCTAGAAACCTCAGGCATAATGAGCTCACCACGGCTAACAAAGAGCCTTCCCTGTTAAACTTAACCATGGGACATTCCTGCAAAATGTTAAAGAAACATATTAACAAAGTTAACTTCACCATGGGACAGTTATGCAAAATGTTAGAGAGACATATTTAGCAAAGTCTTCCTGATGTGTATCAAAGAAACTAGAAGTTCTCATCGTCTTACCGGAAATACTGCTGCGTCTATCTTGATCTTTCTGAAAAGATGATCACTGTCCACATTCCAGACTTTCACACAATATTCATCGCCAACAGCTATATACCCATTCTTGCAAATATCCATGCATTTTGTTTGAGGATTCATAACGCTGTTGTAATTTCTCCTAGTCTCAAAAGATTCTCTATCAACCTCAACCAAGCCACCCGGACCATAACAGAACAATCTGCCAAGATAAAAATGAGATTAACTTGAAAATTGTAAAACATAACTGAAACGACTCATCTATATTCAACTCACCTCTTTCCATCGCCGCTAAACTTGAGTTCAAGCCTAGCATTCATATCACTAGGGAAAAGAAGTGGATTACTATCAAGTGGTCCGTTATATCCTATGTTTGGTTTCATAGCAGTTCCAAACACATCCAAGATAAAGAGTTGCTGAAATTAAAATAACACTATGAGTTCATTGTTTTAAGTATAAGTAGACAACATTAGCAAAAATGGATTGAGGATTGGATAATTACCACTTTGTTTCCATCTTGGTGCAAAGCAAGAGAATTTAAGGGAGCTGTATGAGTCAATTTCCAGTACACTAACCCATTTGATGAATTCCAAGCCTTAATGTGTCTGTCATTTCCACAGGTTACTATCTTTAGCTCTCCTTGAGAACTATAGAACACGATATCATTGACAGGCCCACTATGTGCCTCAATCTAGTCAATATTTAGATTGAATTATGTTAGATATATAAGCTTTTTCTTCTAAGTATATATATCAATTTATTTTGATACAAACCTCAAGGTGTGGCTTAGGGCGCTGTTCATGTATATAGTTGTAAGTGTGAACTAAACCTTCAGAGAAACCCACAGCTGAAAACAGAGGAGAAATATTAGTCAAGTGATATGTTCCCATAAGTTCTGAAAAATGAATTTACAGATATGTACCAAATGTTGTGTCAGATCCCCACGCCACACACAGTCCTTCTGCTTCACCTTCTGTTTCACCCAAACGAGCCTGTGTTTTTGAAAAATTGATTAGTCTCGGATTTGGTTTGGATATGTTATTACAAAGTTCGATTTAACATTGAACGAAACCTTCAAGGCCTGTGATAATTTTTTTTTGTTCCAGATGGTAAATTTCATTCGAAAAGGAGTCTTCATAGTGTTGATACGATACAGTCTAATACCACCTGAAGGTGTGCAAACTAACAATACCAAAAACAGATAATGATTAGAGTAAGAAAAATAGTTAGAATGCACTGAGAAAAAGAACTAGAGAAGCTGCGCTTACCAAGTACCAAAGGGAGATGATGGTGAAACTCAAAAGCAGTGACAACCTCAGTCACATGAATATCTTTCACAACGCTATCGGACAGAGAAAAGGTCGGCGGAACAGTAACAACAGATGGAATGTCGTTTGAAAAACCCGCTGACTGATCTGAGTTAATAGTCCATCCAGGCATGACTGTATCATCTTCAATAGTCAAATATAATGACGGTGAGTAATGGGAACCAGCTGAGTGTTGGGGTTGGCCATTGAACTCAAGTAACATCGGGTCATAGTTTCCTAATCCTGATGATGATGCCTGCATATCCAAATTGTTGGTGGCTAGAGTTTGATGATTCTGATGAAGGGGTTGGGGAGTACAGTGGTGATCATTGAGCAAAGAAGCAAACAAGGGGCTATGAACGCAATCTCTATGTTGCCAGTTCACGCTACAATAGAAAGACGAACTAGGTGTTAGGAAAAATCAAGATTGGAAGAAAAGAAAAGTAAGAAGTAAATATATACCTCTGTTCTAAGAGGGTTTGTAGTCTACTTTGTCCCTCAATGACTGTTGGATAGAACATGGACCTAACATTTAGGTCTTGTTCGATTAGGCTCTTCACATACTGAACCACTCTTTCCCTTTGATTCTCTACATCAACAGTAGGTATTGTGTTGTTCCTGAAATAAGAGTTACCAGCAACCATCACAAGACATATCAGAACAAATAGAGCATACATACGGATGATGCATGCATAATAACACAACAAACACAAATACTATCATATCATAACACAACAAACACACATACCATCATATCATGACACAACAAACACATATACCATCATATCATAACACAACACACACTAGCAAGTATATACAAGCATATGAGAATCACGTACTCAAAATGAATCTTCAGTTCGTCATAATCTTTTACCAAAGAAGGATCTGCTAGTGAAATGGGATACATGCGATGGAAAAAAACTGTTTTGGCTTGAATTATGTTATTCCTGCATTGGAAAAAAAAACTCAAGAACTTGTTATAAAAACACAACAGAACAAGAAGAAGAAACTGAGACACCTTACTTAGAAAGAAGCTCCGAAAACAATTGCCGCCAGATGAAATAGAAGATGTGGCAGGAGGCTAGAGAAACTTCATTCTGAAATTGGCAAAAATAAGTCACAGCGTCTTCAAAGTTACCACCAAGTAGCAAGGATGTAAAAGTTGCAAGATTGGGTAGCTTTCCCCTCTCAATATCCAGACTAACACAACACAGAGGGAAAAAACACAGAGACAATGAAATTGTTAGGAGTAAAACACACTGTTGTTGTAGGAAAATCATAACAAAATCTAAAAGTACTCACGCTTGAACCGTGCTGGACATTCCGTGTTGCTCAAGGTAATTCTTTATGAGTGTCATGGTTTCATCATGCCTCCTCATCCTACCTGCTTCGTCCATGATTAGCAAGTGCTCGTTCTCTCTTCTACGAAATTCTGGAAACACGACCCAGGTAAGAACAAAGAAACAGAGCATATCTGTACTAAAACAGGACTTTATTATCCACATAACCAACCAAATATCCAAAACCCAAAACTCGGAGTTACGAAAAAAGGAAACAAAGAAATCCTGACGAGATCTGGGTAAGGGCGACGACTAGTTTCCAAATGTAACCAAATAGATTTTGTTTTGTCATAGCCATGACCAAAAATACCGGATTTGTGTTCAAATCAAAGATTCTACAAAACCCGATTAGCGCTGAAATTACGGATTTTTAAAATCAAGCAAAGAAAGTAGAGAAATTGGGGAAATGATTTTACATCAGGCAACGAAAGCAGATAAATCGGTAACGATATGCAAGAAGCAGAGAAATCGGAAGCGTACACAGAATCGGCGCTGGTGGTAATAGTTTGGACTTAGGGTTTTACAATGCTTTGAGCTGCTTCTTATTCTTCATCTTCTTCTTTTTTTTTTTTTTTTTTTTTTTCTTTTTTCAAAAATAATTACTTTTCTCTTTGTCAAATTGTATTTTTACTCGTATATACGTTAGTATTTTTATTGTTTTTGGGATAAAAATCGTATACACCTCCAAATTGTTTTTGTATTTAAAACAAAGTTTTACTTTTGACTCTCTCTGACTCTCTTCTTTTTTCTTTTTCGGAGATAAATATTTTACAGTTTTCGTGGCTGCCACGTCAATAATTACACGTGTTATTTACCGAAGGAAGAACTTACTTTTGAAGTTTTCACTCGAGTGCTTTATTTATTTATCCTCTACAAATACTTAAAAATGTGTTTTTTCCATATGCTTTTCTTTATTTATTTTTGCTTGGTCGTTTTGAAACATATATCGACTAGATTAAGATCAAAAAGGAAGAAAACCAAACGTAATTAAGGTACCGTGAGTTTGAGTTGCTGTTCGAAGGACTCCTTCATCTGGTCCTGCATGCGACTTTGACGAAAACCCTCTTCGCAGATTCCAAGTTTTTCTTCTTTTACGTACGTACTACCTCCTCGTTGGCTCTTTCTTTATGAAAGCCCGACCTGCTAGCTTACTCTCTTCGGCTTTTGACTTTGTTGTTGTGTGAATCCCACCCAAACCGTTAGCAACCTTACCTCTCCGCATGACTCGCCTTAGAGACTTGACTCGATGTTTACGATTGAGAAGGGAGAAAAAGTTTATATATAGTTGGGAGTTAGGACCAAAGGATGGCATGGAGCAGCAAGCGTCAGTCTGAACATTGAAATGATGCGACAGAACTTGACCGATTTATAACAAATTGTGTTACGAAAATCCTACGTTGACAAAAACGAAGTTTTGTATGATCTATGTTTTTTTTTTTTTTTTTTGCATCAGTTTGAAAAGGTATACTACGTAATTGTTAAAATATATCATAAATAATGGTATGATGTGTGTGGTACTAAATCCAGTACATGTAAGGTAATTAAATCCCAACCAATTTTGGCATATTAGTTAGTGGACCTTTCAACTTAGCAGAGTAAATGAAAGGAAACTTTAAAGTTAGCAGAGCCATGCCCTAATTTAGCAGCAGATAGTGAATACGACTTCCACATGTTAGTTAGTGACCGTTAAATTAATGTGCAAGTAATCCATGTTTGTTGGTGTGGTATATTTACTACTATAATATACTAACCAAACACACACATATCACAACACGACTCTAATTTAGAAAAGATGAATTCGACATGTTGGTCCAGTCAACAAAGAGTCAATGGAATTGGTCTCACATGCCACGTTGCGCTGCTCTTTTGCACCGGACACCCAAGACTGAGTCCAAGACCCACAAAGCTGGTCTTATATTAAACCATTATTATTATTATTACTAGATTAATAATAATACTCGTGGAATTTGTGTCTAATTTATCTCTCTTATTGAAAAAATGTTTTGATGATCACTATTAAACATCTTAAATTTTTTAGCCGTCTGGAAAATTTTAGTCATCAACATCTTATATATGCAGCGTCTTTCGAGATCTTTTGCAGTGGAGAATGAAGATATATAGCTCTAGTGGACAAGAATGGAGGAAAGTAGCCTTCCTATGCAGCTTCTGTCAATGTTATACTTGGCAAAAGGTTAAAGACGGGAACGACCTTCACGTTGGAGTTTGTTCTAGGAGAAGGCACAACTCCAATGCTCAAGTTCTTCTCCAAGACCAAAGTCAAGGTGAACAATATTTTTTTGGACAAGATATTAATAATAATATATAAAACAGATTTTTGTTAGGTAATCTTTCCAAATCTATCACTTTTAGAAATGTGGCATTCCAAATCTACCACATTCTGAAAAAGCTTTCCAAATCTACCACATTTTTCTTCCACATGCAAAATAGCGGACGAAATTGCCTTTGATGGTGATATAAGGCTATGTCAGATAAAATGACAAGTTGGTACTGGCTGGAGAAGAGGGACCAGACTGCAATAAATGTTGTACGTTTACAATTACTTATAATTGTAATTAAATAATATATTAATAGAGTAGGGTTAGATCCTTCAAGGTCTTCGGCAAGATCCAACAAATACTCGGGGACATATGAAGAGAAAAATAAATTAAGCTCGGGGATAAATTTAGATCGAATGGGTAATAGAACTAGATCAGGGACAAGTTCATATGGAATGAGTAATAGAATTAGATCGGGGACAAGTTCATATCGAATGAGTAATAGAATTAGATAAAGGACAAATTCGTATCGAATAAGTAATAAAGTAGATGAGGGACAAGTTCATATGGAATGAGTAATAGAATTAGATCGGGGACAAGTTCAGATCGAATGAGTAATATAATTATATCGGGGACAAGTTCATATGGAATGAGTAATATAATTAGATCGGAGACAAGTTCAGATCGAATGAGTAATAGAATTAGATCGGGGATAAGTTCATATCGAATAAGTAATAGAATTAGATCAAGGAGAAGTTCATATTGAATGAGTAATAAAAGTAGATCATGGACAAGTTCAGATCGAATGAGTAATATAATCATATCGGGGACAAGTTCATATGCAATGAGTAATAGAATTAGATTGGGGACAAGTTCATATCGAATGAGTACCAGAATTAGATCGAGGACAAGTAATATCAATGCCAGATTTATCTAATTCTATTTTCAACGATTTAACGCCGTGGACCAAAACTATATAATTGTTAAACTATTTCAAACCCAGATTTAAATTTTGAATGAGTAATATCGAATGAGTACCAAAATTAGATCGAGGAAAAGTTCAGATCAAATGAGTAATAGAATTAGATCGGGGACAAGTTCATATAAGAAGAAACCCAGATCTAAATGTGTAGCCAATTTAACGTCGTGGACCAAAACTATATAATTGATAAACTATTTTCAAACCCAGATTTAGATTTTGTAGGAGAAAAAAAATCATGTGAGAAGAAAAAGAAGAAGAAAACTTCATAGATATACATATATATCTATGAGTGAGAGAAACAAAAAAATAATGTGAGAGAGAAGAAGAGTGAGAGAAAGAAAGAAAACAAAAAAAATTAAAAAATAAACATAAAGAGAAAGAGAGAAAGGGAGGGCAAAATATTAACTTCTATATCAAATGTGGTAGAATTGGAAAGGAAGTTGAAAATGTGGTAGATTTGGAAAGAATTGGGGGAAATGTGGTAGATTTGGTAGTTTTTCCTTTTTGTTATAATAAAATAGTATATATATTTAAAAATTAAATTTCTTTTTAAATAGTTTGTTTGGTAATTAAATTTTGTGAAAATAGTATAGTACCATTGATCATAAAATCTAAATATTTTGTAACACATTTTACCAAGTATAATGATTATTTATTTAAATTTTCATATTATAAAACTTATTTCATGTGAATTGGATAAATAAATTAAAATTGTTGATTATTCATACTCACAAGAGACAAATTTTACATTTTATGAAAATTAATATGTTAAAACTTAGAAAACAATAATTTAAATGATGAATAAAGTTCTTTTAGATTTAAAATAGAAAAAAACATGTTATATGAAAGAGGAAATTATATTATGCCTTAAAACATGAAGCTGTAAATTAATAGAATTTGAAACTAACAAAACAAAATGCATGTCAAAGAAAAAAACATAATGGAGTGAATGAGGGCATTATCACATGCTCCAGAAAAAAAAAATTTGGTAAAATTTATATAAAAATTTAGTGGATGAATCGAACTTACGTCCTCAAACTTTAGGGGTGCAACATAGCTATATGTGTAAAACATAAGGTTTATATATTTTAGGTGTGTCAGTTTGACCCCCCTACTTGCAACATGGGTCCGCCGGTAGATCCCATAACGCGGCGGCGTAACGTGGCGGCGGAACCATCAGGAATACCGTTGCCTCTCTTAACAACGGTTCTCCTGTGAGTTTCTCTAAGCAGTTTCTTTGGCACTCTTACGTTTTCTAATCTTTTCTTCTTCATTTGCTCCACCTACGAGTTTAAGCATTTTTCTGCTAGAATTTCTCCTTAATTTGTATTGTTAGATTAATTAGTAGAATTTTGTTTGATAAGAGCTCCTGATTGTGATTTATGATTTTTTTTTCTCTAGCGCATTCGTATTTCCTTGCGGTTCTGATATATTTGCAAGAATGTTGGATATGGGCTGCATCAGTTTGAAATGTGAGTAAAATGATCAAAATGTTATATAAGAAACAAAAGAAATTACAAATAAAGAAGAGAAGATGATCTAGACTACTAATTAAAGTGTATCGTCGAAAGAGAAGAGAGACTGGAAGTAGCTAGAGTGTATATATAGATTCAAGTCTTAAGTTTAGAATTTTATATGTCTTGGCTTTGAATTTTAGAAAAGCTTCGGTAGAGGAGATTTCAAACCAGGATATCACACGGACAAGATACCTTAGAATATCAAATATTTGGATCTAGATCAGTCCAAAATATGATATATGCAGGTATTCGTTATAATAAATAAATACAAAAGTAAGTAACAATAAACTAAAATATTAAATCTATAAAATAAAACTATATAATGTTTTTTGAATACTCATTTAGCTAAGTCGTGATTCAAAAAAAGAAAGATATAGGGTATACTCTGCATCAGTTTGAAATGTGAGTAAAAATGATCAAAATGTTATATAAGAAACAAAAGAAATAAAATAATAAAAGAAGAGAAGATGATCTAGACTAGTAATTAAAGTGTATCGAAAGAGAAGAGAGACTGGAAGTAGGGAGCAAGGACCCAAGTTTGGAAGTAAGGGACACGGGCAAAAGTTTGATGGTCGGCGAGAAGCAAAGTTTTAGTACGAGGATCATATTTGAGCAACCTTTCTTTCAAATCCCAGTGATTTGAATTATTTGGCTTCTTACCGCTAATCAACACCTTTCCGTCGCCGCAGATTTCAATTGGCATAAGCACCTCCAGATTAGGCCTCGCATAGCTTTTTAGATCAATTGAATACATTTTTTCCCATGCGCCTCCTCCTCCATCCATGCTCCACATCTCCAAACAGTCAAGTGTTTGCTCTACCATCCATACTTGATCCCTTAAGTTCATGAGATTAATTATATATGAGGGTGTTCTAGCACCGAAAGGAGGGTGATGGACTGCACGGAATCTGTGTGTGTGAAGATCAAATGCTATGATCTTGGCCGTTGTTGAATACTCTGCATCTGTTAACCATAGATAAACAGTGAACCAATAGATGGATCCGTTAACGCTAGCTGAAGGTTGTCCTTTAAAGCAAGGTATAGGAACATGGCTTATGTATCTCCATTCCCATGTCTTAAGCGAAAGAACCTCGCATTCTGTGCATGCCGTATTCTCCCCAGGCCGTTCAAATAACCTAACAAGTTTATAATCTCCGCTCACTCTGTCTCTCCCAAATCCCAACAAGTCAATCGCCGGACTAGGAAACTGATGATTAGCTACATGTAAGAAATAATACAAATTACATTGCATTGCATGCACATACAATCTTAATTAGCTAATTAAAGAAGAAAAACAAGACTCTTCTGACTGACTGAATCATTATAATAAACTCTTCTTGTGAAAGATAATTGAAAAAAATAAAATAAACGAAGACAGTAAATGTTACGTACACGTGCGGTAACCAAGAAAATCTATGCTGTATCTGCTTATGAAGAAGGGCACAGTTACATGACTTTCAAATGTCTGTGGACGGTGACAAGGACTTCGTTGTTCGGCTTGGATTTTCTGACCCGTAGCGGGGTTTATAAACAGATACTTGTTACCAGGTCTCGGACAGCAGATGAAACCGTCGCATGAGAGACAAGTAGCAACAACTTCGTTATTTTCAAGCAGCACATAGGTAAATTCGGGATCATCGTCTGATGAACGGAGGAACAGTCGAGGTTTTGGGGAAACTTTAAGAACCAACGGGTCCACGACTATGATCTTAGCAAGGATTTTGAAACGATGTTTGGATTTCTGATGAACCATGTACCGTTCCATGAAATATCGAGATCTTATCAGCCTCCTCCAGTTTTTTGAAACCAATTCTAATCGATGCAGAGGTTTCACTGGAAGTCTCTGCAAGATTTCGATTTCTACATCATACGGAAGTTCCATGCCTGTTTCCGACCTCATAGCTAGTTACTCTTTCGGTCTTTCCCTTCCCTTCTTTGCATTTATATATACGAGAACCGTAAAATATATTCGGGAAAGTAATTATTTTTCTTAAGGAAAGTAATTATTTTTCTTAAGGAAAGTAACATTGTCTCCATAACGTAATTGATGAAAGAAACTACATGTTATAAAGGCTAAAACTGAAAGTTTCGTTTTCACAATACGTACTTGTTAAAAAAAATAAAAAAAGGAAAGACTCTGACCAAAAAGGGGAAAGTACATAGACTATAGTAAAACAGGGGAATTTCGTTGTACATTATTCTGTATGGGCTAATAATGTTTCCCTAAAATTCTACATACATACACGATACAATAAAGGAAAGTAAAATTATTTTTAAATAGTTTTACTATCATACCATTACTTTCTAACAAAAATTCAAAAATGTTAATTTCTGCATAAATTTTAATTAATTATTTACCCAAATGGGCCACAAGTCGACTGTGTCTATCTCTAGCATTATCAAGTCTTGATCTAACCAGAGAATTTATCAAAAGAACAACAAAATGTTGCAATACTCGAGAAATATACAGAAGAAATTAAAGTAACTAGAAAGAAAAATGGAGGTTAGTTTCTCTTCTCTTCTAACCCCACCCTTTCTTGGATAACAAGTAAAAACGTGTGTTTTAAATTTCAACACTTTACAGCCCTAGGGCTTGGGATTCCCATGTATGCTAAGCGTGGAGACACCCTCACTTTAGGACTAGGCCTTGGAGATGGAATTGGTCCATAAGAATTAGCTGGCGAAACCCGAGGAGAGAGACTGACTTGCTCCAGTGCTTGTGCCTGTAGCTCCATTGGGTAATCTCTAACACACCCAATTCTTGGACCATATCCACTTGTCCATTTACAAGACAGTCTCTTTACAGGATCAAACACATGTCTCGCTCTCTCTTCCTGCTCTGAAGGCATCTCAATTTCTTCTGAGACTTCCTTTCTTTCTTCTTCTTCATCTGCAGTTGATTTGAATGACGAATATTCCTCATTCACAGAACATCTCTGCAATTCAGATTCAACAACACTCGTGAATATAACCATTCTCTTGATGCCAATAACACAAAGACCGATCTCATAATTTTTATTTCCGTACCTTGACATTGGTGAGATCAACATTGTGCTCCTCTAAGAAGCTTATGAACTCTTTAAAGTTGTCTTCTGTTGGGAGATAGTGTCCACTATATGGCCATATAGCCTGAGGAAACAAAAGGTGTATGAAACATCCTTTTAGTTTACATAACATATTTAAGAGATTGAATGCCGAGGGAGAAACAAAGACAGGTAATTTAAGTACCTCAAGGATCCCATCGCGGGCGACTAATCTTCCTGCAGCGGTTGTGGCGCCTCCAGATAAGAAACTAGAGTGCTGGAAAAGACCTTTCTTTTTAATCCCTACGTATAAGTTTCGAGTCGTGCTAAGTACAAAAATCGACTTGGATTCCTCTGTTGAATTGATCAGAGCCATGCTCTGTTTATATATTAGTCTCCCATCTTCCACTATCACTTCATATGCTTCTCTCTCCATCTGCAGGTTTCAAAGAAACACATAGGTTAATGAGTTATAAAGAGCTATAGCTAATTAGTATGGTCGAGTCAAATCAGGTAAAAAACTCACCGGTCCGAGATATCTGATGCATTGTTTTTGTAGAACACTTCTAGGGTGTTTCTCAAGATTTACATCTTTGCCGTCTCCTATGTCCAACCTTTAGTTTCAAATCAGTGAAAACAGAGTTTAGAACACATTCAATGACAGGAAGATCTAAAGATGGAATTTGGAGCTAAGTCCTTACCAGTAAAAGAATGGTTGTGAGCTCTTGCTTGCTGACCAGACATCATAATAGAAGTGTAAGTTGTGGCCATAACGATGACGTGGGTCAATCTGCAATTGTAAGAGAGGGATCATTAGATTAGACTAACAAAACCAAAAGGAACTAATAACGTTATGATCTTTTCTTTTGCTACTAAACTCATTAATTTGTTTCTTCACAAACCATAACTTTGATATAAAGTTACAAAGATATTTAGATTATAGGGACTTACAGCTTCAAGCCAATGCTGAAGTGCTAATTTCTGAGCCTTTTCATCTTTTGATAAGCCTTTCCCAACCTAACAAAAGTGAGACCCACGTTAGTTTTTCATAATAAAGAGAGATATAGATCTACTAATACCACCTTGACTTGTAACTAAACAGAGATAAAATGATGTCAGACCTTAGCAGCTCGTTTTCTAGCTCGTGCCCATTTCGAAACAGCGGTCTCATGTTTTTCTTCTCCGAAGAAAGATACAGAGCTCAAATCCAAAGCTGCACCTTCCAGAGTCCTCCACCTACAACATTTCAAGCAATACCAAGGGTTAGTGTAAACATCTTTAAAAGACATTAAAAAAAGAAGAAGATCAACCAAGAAACTCACCAGAGCTCCTCAACAACGACCGCACAATCTGCTAAATTCCTTCTGGTCCTGTAACTCTTGTACACCTTTTGTAACGTAGTTGCAGCTGCATCAAGCTCTGTGACCGGTCTAGGAGAGAAGAACACAAATGGCTCACGTGGAGTAACTGTAGGTTTCTTTATTTGGATTCTCTCACAGTTTCTTCCATTCAAAGTGTTAGGCGTTGACTTCTTTGTCTCCAAGACCTCAAAATCAGAATCAGTCTTGGTCTCTTTAGGAACCTCCCAGCTGTTGAAACTCAACGACCGCTCCATGGTAATCTTAGAAGGATTATGGTGCCTAGTAGTATCGTCTCTCTTGAAACTGTTGGTTCTTGATGTCAAGCCTCCGTCTTTAAGTTTAAAGCTTAAGGAGCCAACTTCAAGACCCATGGCCACAAATATAACGAAAGGATAATTCCAAAAGTTATTTAATATAGAAATCTCCTGCAAGCATCAATCCAGATCAGTTTCAGCATTTTACCAACAACACCTCTCTAAAATTAATTAAACAAACTATAGTCGCATTAATATTAGTTATACCAACCAATTATTGACCTCATTCAAACATTTTAACAAATAAGTAGTACCTTGTGGGCATCAAACACACAGCAAACGTTCCTTTGGCGTTTGTTTTTACAAGAAACAGAGAAGCTTAAAAGAATAAAGAATAAAAGAATGATTCTTTGGAGATAAACTAAACGAGGGATATGAATATGATGACCACGAAAGGTTTAAGAGATCTTAACATATATATATATATATGTAAGAGTAGGCAGTTGAAGACTATTGAGAGAGTAAGAAGTCTTCGTTTTACAAAATCGTTGAATATGGAAAAATACTACGGAATATTCAAAGTTGGCGTGTTTGAAAATGTGGAATATTACCAAAAGAGACAAAATAGTGAGAGGAGGCTCACTAGAAAACAGAGTATGTGGGGAGCCATAAGAGATGGAGGCTAACGGAGGTAAGTTCATGGAAGTTATTGAGATAAGGACAATACACTATAATCTATTTCCAACATTAATTTTTTCTATCTTATTTAATTAGATAAATAACTCATATATAGTACACAATAATTCAAAGGGTTTACATATTAATTATCTAATGGTGAAGTTTAGGTCACACACAAGTTCAGGTAGATATATAACTGCAATGTTACCGTTACACACGAATGTCTAAATTTGCGAGGTACAATTTGAGAACTTTGTGTGAACTTGTGTTATTTCAGAGTTACCCAACGGTTTTACATTTGAAAACAAGCCTCTATCAAATCTTTACACAAGGTCTATATTCAAGAAGAAGATTATAGATTATGAAAGAATTGAACTAGGGTAATTAAGCGGTCATACTTCATCAAAAAGTCAAGATTTTACAGATTTTAAACATAATGTTTCTTGTTTGATGATTGACAAAAAAAAAAAAAAAATGTTTCTTGTTTGATAATGGACTGGGTTTTAATTGTTGAATTGGGCCTTCTGCTTTGCATATAATTAGCCACTATGTTTAATTGGGCCTCTTGCTTTGCCTATAATTACGCTATTTTCGAAACCCAGCCATGGAACCTGAGAGGTAGTGTGTGAGAGGAGGAGGAGATGTCGACGGTGTACGTGCTAGAGCCGCCGACGAAGGGAAAGGTCATTGTGAATACAACTCATGGTCCAATCGACGTCGAACTTTGGCCTAAAGAAGCGCCAAAATCCGTGCGGAACTTCGTTCAACTATGCCTCGAGGGTTACTTCGACAACACCATCTTCCACCGTGTTATTCCCGGATTTCTCGTTCAAGGCGGCGATCCCACCGGCTCCGGCACCGGTAACTTCTACGCTTTTCGATTTTATTCTTAGGGTTTAAGGACCTCTAATTTGTATCTGCACAGTTTTACCTTGAAAAGTTTTCGTGTCAATTTTCTTCTGATTGCTCGCTGGATTAGGTCAATTGAATTTTATGAGTGATATATGTAACAGGTGGAGAGAGTATATATGGAGGTGTCTTTGCTGATGAATTCCATTCAAGATTGAGATTTAACCACCGTGGGATTGTAGCCATGGCTAATGCGAGCTCACCGAATTCTAATGGAAGCCAGTTCTTTTTTACTTTGGATAAGTCTGATTGGCTTGATAAGAAGCACACTATCTTTGGCAAGGTAAACCAAATTGCTTCTTTTGTTTTGTTGTTCTGCTTCGTCCAATTACTCTTTTCTAGTTCTTGATCATGTTTAGCTGCAACTTGTTTCTAATGCTTTTAGGTGACGGGCGATTCAATCTACAATCTTTTAAGACTAGGAGAGGTTGACACGGGTAAAGATGATCGGCCTCTGGATCCTGCCCCGAAAATATTATCTGTTGAGGTAAGGATTGTTAATGCTAGATCTATTATTATAGCTGTTAAACGACAATGTTAATGGCCTCTTATTGAGGATGTTCTCTGATTGATACTCATTCTTTGGTGTGTCAGTCTTGTGATGGTTTTTCCAAAAATTCTGTATATTTTTTTGGCAGGTTTTGTGGAACCCTTTCGAAGATATTGTTCCTAGAGTGTTGGCAAAGGCATCACAAGAATCTGTTGCTGAAATCAAGGAACCCCCGAAAAAGCCCGTGAAGTAAGATGCTATCCATGCTCAATCCATAACTTTAGCTATAATTTTGCTTTGGCTGTTCTTTTGAGACTTTTTTTTGTTGTCTTTGTGATATTCAGGAAATTGAATTTACTATCATTCGGAGAAGAAGCTGAGGAAGAGGAGAAGGAACTGGCTGTTGTAAAGCAAAAGATAAAGAGCAGTCATGACGTCTTGAATGATCCTCGACTTTTGAAGGCAGAAGCTACAGATAAAGAACGGGTAATAATACAATTTAGCTTGTTGTGGTTTTAACTTTTCCCATCTTTAACTCCCCTTTTTTTTTGTGTGTGAAAAATGATGGTTTTTTTTATATTTTTTTTTATGGTTGTAGTTCTTTGTTTTCACAAGCAATCTTGACTTTCTGATGTATTTTTACATTGCAGAATGCATCTGAGTCGAAGGAGGTACTATCTGTGCGAGAAGCTCTGAATACTAAGAAAGAAGCGGCTCAAAAAGATAAAAGCTTTTCTGTATCTGATACAGTGGGACATAGTGATGATGACGACGATGATGAAGATGAGACTAAATTTGATGCAAAGATGAGGAATCAAGTGCTCAGCAGAAGGAAGGAGATGGGAGATACGCCTTCAAAGCCAACTCAGAAAAAAAGTAATTACGTTTTCCATCTCTCTGTATCCTGACATCTGACTGAAATATTAAACTTATGGCAATTCTTGATTTGCATAATCGAATTCTCAATCATATCAAGCAATCATGTCTATGCTTAGGGATGTTATCTGTTTATCAACACGATTTGTTGATTTTAGGTTCGGCACCAAGTTTTACCAGAGAATAATATACAGCTCTCTCTGTTCCTCATGCATGTTCTTTATATTATCTCTAGTTATTTCTGTAGATTCTAATTATAATATACTTGTGGTTGTCTTCTTAACAGAGAGCTCTAGTCTGAAAGGCCGTGAAGAGCCTATGCAAAGGTAATGACACCCACAGTATTACGCTATCGCCTCTGATCATTTGCCTTCCAGGTTTTGTGGCTTAGTCAATATGTCTAGTTCATTGTTCTTTAGAATACTATTAATCTACTCTAGTTAAAAATGTCACGAATGCTCTCATCTATGCACAATAATTTATTCTTTATTTAGTAATAGAACCTTTCACACAAATCTGCTTGCTTTTTTGGCATGAATGCCTGAATATGTTTTGCTTTAGTTCATGATGGTGTAACCAGTGATGTTAGTCATTGACTCATTAAGTTTTGCTATTCACAGGTCTGATGCTGTAAGTAGTGAAGACGAGAAACCAAGGATGGAAAAGTTATCCTTGAAGAGAAAAGGGATAGGCTCAGAAGCCAAAGCCGAACAAATGGAGAAAGGAGACACTGATTTACAGCTTTACAACGCTTCTGAACGCGCCCGGCAGTTGCATAAGTTGAAAAAACGCAGACTGCAAGGAAATGAGGATGCTGTAAGTTGTTTACCAGAGTAGTATCTTATTTTTAAACTTATTTTCTGATTGATAATATATTCCTGTGTTGGCTTACCAAACCTTGTCCTTGCTTTATTGTGGCATACTTCTTCCCTAAAAGTTAAAATCTAATTTTTTCAGAGCAACAGTATCAGAAGACAATTTCTTAGATTCTGGGTCTAGGGTTTACTCATCTAACTTGATACTCTTTCAGCTGTTCCTTGAACTGATCATCGTTTCCCTCCTGCGCTTTCTTCAGGTGTTAGCAAAACTCGAGAAGTTTAAGCAGTCTATATCTGCAAAACCGTTTACCTCGAGTAATGAACCAGTAGCGTTTACCTCGAGTAGTGAACCAGTAGACAATAAAGAAGAAGATCTCTCTGATTGGAAGAAAGTAAAGCTCAAGTTTGCTCCTGAGCGTGGCAAGGTAAATCTCTAAGGTTCCATCTCACTTGAGTGCAGATCTAATGGATGTAGTACTACGTTGTTCCATTTCTTTAGTTAACATAAAAATTGAAAATCCAGTAGTTCATAGGATAGTGTATGCTAATCCCAAATAATTTCATCAGAAGGTTGAGCTATGTATATGTTTCTCATGTCCTGTGGAAGAACCTGACAGTGTGAAACTATCTTGCAGGATAAAATGTCGCGCAGGGATGATCCAGATGCGTATGTGGTGGTCGACCCTCTTCTTGAAAAGGGAAAAGAGAAGTTCAACAGAATGCAAGCAAAACAAAAACGAAGGGAGCGAGAATGGTCAGGAAAATCTCTTGCCTGAGTTTGGGAATCTTAACCATTCAATTTTTTTTTACTTTTGTTGTTTTGTTGATCCTTAAGATGCCTGTTGACTGTCAAAATCTCTCCTGTTTTAAACTTAGATACATACAGAGACATGAATGAGCATCTTAAACAGAAGGTCACTCTCTCCCATGATACAGTACAAATGTTATTTGTAGGAACCTTAAGCTAACATATATGATATGAGTTTAATCCCTTTATAACTAACATATATCTTCCACTCGATCGAAATCATTACACAAGTTGGATGGTATTCTTCACTAGGCTGGTGATTTTGGTTCAGATTCAGTTTCTAGCAAAAGCCTGATTGGTTTGAATTTTGAATGCCAAAAAAAATCATATGATACAATATTAACCGAATTGATATTTTATGTTTAAATTGAACCATTTGGATTTATTCAATTAATGAGCTTATAAATAGTGGAAACTGGAAAAGGAAATTTACTTTATTCCACAATAAAGCGTACTAATTGGAAAGAGATACTAATAAGTTCCAAACACGATGGTCGAAAGATCAACAACACTCAGTCACTGAATTGGTAAGAAGCAGTGAAGATTCCGTGTTGCTTCTTCTACTGAGGATTGGGAGGACGGCTATTAGCAGCAGATACGCGTGAGCCCCACTCAAGCAACTCTTTGCTCGTATCATCCTTATGAAGAATCACTTCTATGAAACATAGACAATCTTTCTTCTCCATTGTTGCTGTCTTGATCGCCTCCACTAACTCCTCCTCGTATCTCACCTGTCAAACACACAAGTTCATTATGTTAGTTTATAACCAAAGTTTGGTTAAATTCCACTGTCATCAATCGTTTCAGTTACCTTTGTAGTCCAGCAATTGCCTTCACCGTTATGAATGGCGTCAACGAGACCAGTGTAGTTCCAGTTCTTAATCACGT